TAAAACAATTTCAAACGTTGAGAGTTTTACTGTAAAAGTGAGAAAATGATGGTGGCAAATCCTATTCCATGCCTGCCTTTCTTTTCTAAAACTCGGAAGATAAAAAGAAGTGGGTAATCCCTTCCAGTGGAGAATCAATTTAAAGCTGCTCGATAGGAATCTTCTTGAAATCATTAAGACTTGTGGAAATTCAACCATTCTCTACATTTTACAACAATTCCACTGCTGCTCCTCCTGCTTACGCTTACGCAAGAGGCACACACATACCCCGACGACGAGATATTTCTCCTTTGAGAAGAAATTAAAGGAGACGAACCCAAAGAACCCATCAAACCATTCATCAGATTAAATTTTAAATTCTCCTTAAACACGCGTGAGTGAATGCTATGCTGCATCTGCCCTCAATTTCATTTTGGCAGTAAACTTCCTTACTTAAAACAGCAGCTTTTATCTCCAGTTTACTTTCATCGTGTTTATTATGCTGCTGCCCTTTAGACTCGAACTTTTCTCCAATCCAATTCCAAATCTTAAACAAATAAATAAACTCATCGGCCTACATTCAACATTCATATCGGGCTGCTTGGGTTGTACATACATAAATAGTCGTCGTCGTCGTAATGCTTCGTCAACTTTCAATCTGCTAATGTGTACATCTGCCACCATCGCCAAACTGTTGTATGTGCATGGTTGTATTGGATTGGATTTAAGTAAAGTCAAAATCAACATCAACATGTGAACAGGTTCACGTGCAATGTTGAGATTAAGGAGTCTTAGCTACCTTTCCCCGTCATTCCTTCGAGAGAGCCAGAGTGCTTCTGGGCAAAGTGGATTCATTCATTAGATCAATATTGACGAGATGTTCTTCCAAATGTTTACTGCTTATCTTCTCTGCTTATTTGTAAATAGACTATTTTTAAAACTAATGCAATTTTTATATATGTACATGTATTGTTGCAAACATACATAATTATTTACTTCTTTTTGTGTGTTTATCTATTTATGGTCATGGAAGTGCGACAAATTTATGAGCATGCGATATTTCCAGCTCATCATTTTATTTACTTAGTTTTAGATTCTAATTTTCCATACACAAATTTGACCAATGCATGAAAATAAATAATAAAAATAAGCTACATTTTTATCTAAATTATATTTAGAAGGGGTTCAGTAAAATCTCAAATTCAACAACATTAAGCATTTTATGCATGCATTACACTGCAGCACATTACATCACATGCATACACTGTGTTGTTATGTTTGATGGAAAGCACTTGAACGGATCTTCAATCCCTAAAACTCTTCAGCAGAACTCACTCAGCACAAAGAAAGAAGAAAAGACGACAGAACGACGTTCACTCGACTAAAATGGAATAAAAAACTTTGAAATTGTTTATTTTTCCCTTGTCATCCTCTTTCCTTTGTGCTTTGGTACTTAGCACCAGTGAACGAGTGGAGCACAGTACATGTGTGTCCATGATGTACTTAATATATTTTAGTGGATGAAGCATATGTACAATGTGTGTGTGTGTATACGTACATACGTGTGAACAGCCTATAAAAGGAACTTCAAAGCATTAAACACTTTTCAAGGAAAGAGTTAAAGCTCAAGATTACTTTTCAACTTTAAATTCAATTGTAAAGTCATTCTAAGATGGATATATTTACTTTACTATCGCGTAAATGGTGCTAAAAACTTTTTTATCATGGGAAAACTTGCTTATTTCCTGCTTGCGTATGCTTTTAATTTAACAAATTAATTTATACTTTTACCTTAAATTCTAGCTGAATGAAATTTGTAGAGTTACATAGGTGATGAAAGGTAGTCGTACATATATATACGTACATACATACATGTAGATATATAAGTAGGAGGACATGAGTATGCATAGTGGATTTGTTGACCCGGCTTCGAAAAAGATTAAAGCGTAAAGTTAAGCCAAAAGCAAAACGTACCACAGAAAGGCTTTACTCTGCACTCGACTTTTACTCTGCTGAGGACGACTGGGATGAAAAAGGTTGAATCTCTTCACGTCAAATACAAATCTTTCAAATAGTTTACAAGCAGAGTCCCCTTGTCTTGTTGACTAGAGTGGTTTTAGGCTGAGTGACTAGGAACCGTTGGGGACATGACGAGGGTCGTCTTGACGAAAACAGTGCAAAATGCAGGAAACGAAAAATTTTTACGTCACAAAATGTCAAAGTATTTTTATCTCATAAAAATGTTGGATTTTGAAAATCATTTGAATAACTGATGTACCATAAAATTTGTGACTACATTTTATTTCCCAGATGACTAACCAAACCCTAAATCGCGTTTTTATAAACCCACAATCAGAAACTCTAGAATACTTGCATTAACATGACGGAACGTGAATTTACACTTTGTACATGCATATTTATGTTACGGAACAGTTCGTTAGTGATAAATCGCGTACACAAAATTTTACGTGTTGCGATTTAACTAAGGATTTAGGATTTCGCAGTGAAAGGGACAAGTGAACTACACTACTCTCAAATATGTAGTCTCAAGTCTCGTAGAATTTCCTGTGCTTCAACTTCACGTCCTTGATAAAAGTTTAAACGGGACCATATTACGCTATTCAGGAACTATATGAGTATTAACTTGACACCATCAGTCACGTAACTAAATACATGCATGTGAACTTATCCTTAGTATTGCATAGCTGGACTGAGTTCTAGGAAAAACTTTTGTGCTTATTGAATTTGCCAATTATGATAAGTACATCAGAGTTCCTTTTGTATCAAAATTTGGGAAAACTCGAGTGAAAAGAGTCAAAGAAAAACTAAACTCCAGCAACTCAATAATGAACTAATATTTGCAAATCGTGCATGGCCTAAATGCTTGATACATATGTATGTATTCATGTATATAGGTAATGTAGGTATGTATGTACATATCTATACATTTGTATAAATTTCTGAACTCGCTGGTTGTAAGATTTCATAACGCGAATAAAATCATGCAAGATGCATATCAATAAAGTGATCAAACTTTTTCTGCATTCTCTACTTATGGTAAATAAAATCTCGTAAATGATGCCAAATTAATATTCTGTAATGTGATACGTAATTTCTTACAACTGTTTCGCTTTATATAACTTTTAGCTTTTTAGTCCGAGCCAATGCTTGTGCCAGAGGTTTCTCCCATTTCAATTGCAGGTTAGAAAAGGGTTGTCCAGTAATCCTTTGCCTAAAATAGGTTGGTCGTGCTGTTGTTAAAAGGGCCTCCACCCTGTTTGGTCCCTGTCTGATTTCACATCAGATTCAGATCTTCAATCCTGTCGAATAGGACACCCTACACCACTGTGAAAAGGTTTACTTTTTAGCCCGAGTCAGGGCTTATGGAACCGTCATGTCCGTCCGTCTGTCCGTCCGTCCGTCCGTCCGTCCGTCTGTCCGGCACGATAGAGCCAAAACGGCTGAACCGATTGACTTGAAATTTTTACCATATGCATATTGGACAAAGTTAGGAAACGAGTTCGAAGATGGGCGAAATCGGTCAAGTGGTTGACCGGTGGGGGTCATCGGAGTGGGTGGGGTATTATGCACCAAATTTCAAAATTGTCGTAGAAGGCTAAAATTGGGTACAGAGGTTGCTAATGGCTCCTAATAGATAAAAATGACTTTAAGTTTGAAAAATTTTCATCTTGAGGGACCCTATGGGATGACCCATACTGATTTTTCAAAATCGTCATAAAAACCTGAAATTTGGTAGAGAGGTTGCTAATGGGTCTTAATAGAAGAATATGACGTGGAATTGGTAAAATTCTTATCAGGAGCGACCCTATGGGGTGACCCATACCGATTTTTAGAAATTACTTTAAAAACATTAAATCCGGCAAGGTCATACCTAATGGCTTCTCATGAAAGGATATGAAGTTAAAAGTGAGCGAATTTTAACCAGAGTGACCCTGGAGGGTAACCCATACCATTTTTTAAGTTTAATTTTTTCCATCTGAAATTTGGTACGAAGGCTAAAAACCACTTCTTGATAGCAAATATAGCTGTGGAAGTTCAAAGTGGTAATATTATGTCGGTCAATTCGGAGAAAAATTTAGAAACAGCTAGGACTCACGGAGTCAGGGACTCTGTCCCTGACTCGGGCTATATGGAGTCTGCACTGTAGGTTTTTCTTACTTTGCACAACAACCCCCACTTGACCAAATATGGTAACCACGTTCCACTCAAAGTAACTGTATCTGTAATCGATTTTTTTCACTATTCATTTATTTTTTATACTACCCACTACAACCTTTAAACTCTTCCAGTTTAAATTTACAGTGTCTTTCGTATATTAATAATATGTTTAGGCCTTGTGCTTGTATGTGTGTGTATATTTATATAACATTACGAAAGTAAACCCGACCCATCAACGAATGAAAGTATATGAGAACCCACTTTTATTTTCTTCACGATTGATGACCAAATGCATCATTAAGTTTCAAGATTTACGTGAGACTGAACAGAGAAACGTGGCCGTAAACCTAAAGAGATTTTTTAAAGGATATCAGAAACGCCTAAACCATGTTTAGCATTTAATATTAATATATTGCAAACTGAGCGAAACCTTTAATTTTGAAACTCTTCCTCAGACACAGAAAAGGGTCTTGTTCATTCAAATAAATATGCACATGCAATCTAAAACAAACAATGAATATATCCAGTCGGTCACTAATTCGTTTGATAAGCGTTTTCTAGTAAACCCAATAACGGGAAAGAATTTTTATTAAAAATTTCCCACATTGATGTATAAAGTATTTATATAAAAAATATCAAGTTTCAAAATGTCCTCCTCTGACTTGCACACATTTGTGAAGTCTGCGTACTTGTTTTACTAAGAAATGAAAAAAAAATGAAAATTGTTTATTTGTTTAAAATACATGGTATTTTCCTTTTTCTTAAACAAGAAGATCTCCGAAGAAGTCTAAATAATAATTAATTGATATATTTATTGTCGAAAATTTTCAAAAAAATGTTACCTGTGATAACCTCCCACAATGTGTTATCTTGATTCAATAATATAGTCCTGCGATAATCCTGGAATTGAAAAAATTGAATTTAATACTTTTGGTTATCATTTTAACATACAATTTTGTTTATTTGAATTAAATTAAATATTTTATCACAACTACTGAGCCTCCGGTTTTAATATATTGATTTGCATTCGATTGCATAATAAAACATCGGCTTTATTAGTTAATACGCCATCAGTGAAGTGTTTAGGTGTACATATATATTATTTATTTCCCGTTTATGTAATGCTGAGAATTCCATATGAAGCAATAGGAGTGTGATGTGATGGAAAAATAATTTGACAATGATACCAAGTGAACCTTTTTCCAAAAGGTTAATTACCTACTCGTGCACATTTTTATTTTCTGTAGTGGGTTGGTGCACTGCACATTTACTTTTCTCTGATTGAAAATCTCATGCTGCATCTATCCAAAACATAAAATCTCTTCGGGACGTGAGAGTGTGGGGGAACATTCTCTTCGCAGTGATGTATTATTTAATCAAAAGATAGGAATGCTGCGAAATTAGAGTGTTTAAAGTATATATAGTCTGGTACACAACCTGAAATATTTACATAGATATTTTTCGGTCAGTTTAGGGCGTAACAAGTTAATACAAACCTTGATGCAACAATGACACATTTGAACTGTTTAAAGTAAAGCATTTAACAAATAGCAGAGATGTACTGCATGTTGCACCGAACTGGGATTACTGAAAAATAGTTTTAATTTCTAAAATACTTGTGTGATCCTGGATAAAATCCAAATAATTAGAGTATGAAATATTTCAAAATTTCAAGGACAAAACCCGCATGCATTTGTTGTATATTATATATGTATTGTATGTATATTTTTTTTAAAGTAATTTCAAGTTCCCTTCATGTGAAGCTTTTGTAGTTGAGTTTGTGTTGCGCATGAGACAGTGCGAGTATTAAAACAAGAATAAAAATTGAACTTGCGTCTGGTCCAGAATACAAATGACAAACAAAACATAAACTTAGCAAGCCGTCCAGTCCAACCCACCCCAAAAAGAAAAATCAAACATGCTCAACAAACTTTATTCCATCAGCTCAATTGACTGACTGTGTGCAAAGTGATACAAATGTTTGCAGCTTGATAAAGAGGAACTCGTAGATAATTGTTTAAATTTTAAAAAATAAAGCCGCAAAAATGCGTTTTTTTATATATTTTTCTCGTTCAAAACACGAAGAGCAATCAACCAATTAAGGTTCACGACTTTTTCCATATTTCAAATTGAGCCCCCAAAAGTCCGATAAAAATGAAATGGGCAATAAAATAAATTCCACACAGATCAAGGGTATAGATATTGAAAGAAACCTTACATGTTGACGCCCTATTGCGTCGTCAGGGTTAAAAACAAGCCTCGATACGCTATATCATCTAGGCTTATCGTTCAGAACGTTCCGAAGTGACCCTACGATCTGCAATCCATACAGACGTATATCTGCTCCAGGAAGGTTATTAATGATGAAAAATAATAATTATTATTGCTCGAAGCAGAAGGGCCATTAACTCCATGTGGTACGTAATGATATCACAGCGTAATGCACAACAGCAACTGCAATTACTCCCACAGGCTGAAGGGAGAGGCAGTCGGACCGTCGGTTCGGCATTAGCAATTTCCCATGAATTCAACAAAGTGCTTCCAAACCAACTTTTCGAAACAGAAGCAGTATGTAGTGTGTCCGTATGTGGTAGCAGGTCATGATCCCCTCTCATCCCGTTGCGATTTCCAGATAAGTATTACGACATTGAAACGTCAAATAAATATTCCACCATTTATTTTTAAGTATCTTCGTACAACTAAAATTGCATCAATTTGACACATGCCAAAATTGTGTTCAAATACACTGCTGAAGGTAGAAATATTTATTTAATGCAAAATCTAATGTAAACCAACATTACGATTTACCATTTCGTTGTTACACCCACTTTACAGGGTCGGATAGGATATGCAGTAAAGTAAACACAGCAATAAATCCAACAATTCCATAATATTATTCAATTTATCAAAGAGAACGGATGTCCAGTTCACTTGTTCTTTGTCTATTTGTACTCGTTGGGTTTGCTGAGTAAATAGTCAAGCCGACTGATCAGGATGCGAAGAAATGTTTAGAATTAGAATATTTGCACAATATAATGCTCCAGACATCAGGAGAGAGCTGGAGAAAAGTAGAGAGGATTTCATGAACGATCCAATTTTACTTTACTTTGTTAGCCAAGGATTTGGATTGCTTGCTCTACTTTGTTCTTTCAAAATTGGAAATTGGGCAAAACAAAACAGAAGATAGACAAAAGCAGGCAGGGCTGACTGGAATGGGCAAAAATAATAAAAAGGAAACTCACAATTTATTACGTACGGGTGTGCTCTTATAAAGCGGATGCGGACGGAGGGGGACTTGGTAGTAGTGCAAGAAATTTCTTATTTATGAATCCATTCAGCAGCAACTATTCAACTTTCGTTCCTCTCGTTTAATTGAGCGTTGAATTCAGCCAGAAGCCTGAGTAATAACAAACAAATACATATGTCCATGTTCTTTATTTGCCACGGTTATTGCATCGTATCAAGCAAGACGAATAATGCATAGATCGACTGAAACATTATGTAGAACTGTGTGTGGAGGGTGCTACACGGCGTGACAATATATAATATTGAGCCATTCTTTCCAGAATGGAGGAACATAGTCTTGCATGGACGAGTAAGGAACGGTGTTATCATTTTGTTTTCTCAAGTTTGCACATTTGTGCTTTACTTCGGATACATTTAACATCACGCAACCAACCATCTAAATCTATGTCATAATGCAATAGAGAAGGAAAGCAGCTCATTCAAATGGAAAAAGGCTTTGTCCGTGTGATTCTTGGCACTATTTGGCTGCTATACGAACGAATACGATGGGTCGACATGCCGCTGAAATGAATTAAAGGATTAAAGAACAAAATCTGCTTATCTTTTAATTGCATTTTACTCTATATCATTTCCCAGGCCTATCCCAATTTCCAAAAGTGCTTTCATTTCGAACTCACCCTGATTTACTTTAGCCCATTTATATTGCTTTCACATCTAAATTAAACGTTTGTAAAGAAATTAAATAATGCATAAATACGGCAGTATCAGCAGAAAAGTTTTACCGGATCCATTCCTATCTTTATGAAACTATAGCCGTATATTTTTTAGCATACGGCGGGTGGGAGCTTTTGTCGTGTATTCCTCGACTGGTTTTTCATGCATTCGGTAAATATTGTTCTAAATGCTTTAATTTAGCTGATAATAAAAACCCGTAAATGCTTAAGCCCTAAGGGACCTCGTATTCACAAACGACAAAAGTATTTTGCGGCTGTCGTGCTTCTATTTTTATCAAAAGAGACCAGGCATACGAGAAAATTGTGTATACGGATAACAATATAATAAGCACTGAATCTAAAAATTATTTGCTTATTCAGCTTGGTGGGTACTGTAATTAGATATAAGAATTGGTGCGTGTTTGAATTCTTTTATTCTTTTATGTTGCTTTCTTCTCGTAATCTCACAGGAAATCTTACAATTTCATAATATCCGGTTTCCCTTGCTTCCTTCCTGGATAAAGAAAGTTATGTATCTTGGATGAGATACTTTTTCTACTTTTCCACGCAACAAGGTGGGCGGCATATATGCACTAATGCATGGCGAGATTTAATTTAAAGCCACTTTTATGAACTTCCTTACTTTATATTACGTCGTTTTAATCACTGTTACACAACACCACCACTTTCAGACTTACATATTTATAGAAACAACTTTGTTCTGCCACTCAGAGCGGTTCAACTTTTAGAATTAATGCACTTCTCCTAATTTTACAGCTTCAACAAAATTTGAGATTGAAGGTGTACAATGTACTCGCTTTGCCAAGATTACGGAGTCCTTGGGGTGCCAGCAAAGTTATTAATCAAAATGAATATTTCCTTGTTTCATGCTTACTAATACTGCATGCTACAACTGAGCCATTATGTTCAGACCCATAGAAAGTAAAACCCATGCAGTGTATGTGAGTAGTTAATCATCCTCTTAAAAGTGGAACTTACCCACCCAAAGTAAAGTGCGGGGGGAATAAGCCTGAGCTTGGAAAGTAGGTGCCTTGGTCTAAAATCGATATCATTTATCATCTCGCAATCCAACCACAATTTTAAAAGAGCAACAATATACATATTTTATACATGGTGGGCATATGTTTCGTGATTATATTCTAATCCAACTAACTTTTGAATGGAAACGATAATATAATTTATATCTAAATATCAGTGTTTTAATTCTTATCAAATATTTATTAATTTACTTCTTATGTACTCAACCTAAAAAATGTATGCATATTTATACGCACACTAAATTGTCCTTTTCAATGTTTGCCATGCATGCATAGAACTAAAAATACATTTCCCTAAAATTTGTCGTTTACAAAAGGAAGAGTTATTACGTAGCCAAGTTTACTGGCGACTTGATCAATAATCCAACCCATATGACTTGGAGTTTGATTAAATTTAAGCATAATGAAAATTTTTCCAATATTAATAAATAATAGATCACAAGCCAAACTAACAGAGAGATGTTTGAGACAGGGATAGCACACTTGTCTTTGTCAGTACAGATATGTATGTGCAGAATGGTAAGTAGTTGTGCCGTCAATATGATGGGATAGCTTTAATCAATACTGGATTAATATCTCACCAACTAAACCCAACCACCACGACTCTCATCGTGTTAGATTAGATCAGGACGACGATTCTGTTAGTGAGTTGTCGTTGTGGTTTGTCAGATTTTATTAAATGTGATGGGACCTCACTTGCGTCACAAGGAGTGTGTCCTTAATAATAATGTCTCCATTGTAAGGATCGAATAAACGAGAGGAATTTCCAATAAGTCTTTGTGCTAGGAACGTCGTTTGATCCGTTCTACGAGGTGTTCCAATGATGCGGACGATGCTAAACTAAATGTCAATCACAATCATCCCAAAATAACTCATCTTCCACCTCAATATAATTAATATCAGGGAGACTTCTTTCCTTATATTTTCTAGAATAAATGGATTGCAAAAGATTCCCAAAGACCAGAAGACAGAAAATTAACTAACAATACAAAACAAATCTAATTAATCAGAGCTTGGGCAAGTTTTTCAGTGGTTAGATGAACGGGGTAAATTTCTCTTCCTTATTATTTTCACTTTGGGAAAGGACTTCTGGGTTTGATTTTGTAATCAACAATTTGCCTTAAAATTATAAGGATGTATCCGCTTGAAGGATAAAGGGATGAAAACTCTGCAGGATGCATATCAAGAGAAAAAAGACTTGCTTGAAGGATAACATTTGAGTTCAAAGACTCAGGAGGGGAGCTTGCGAGGTTGATAATAACAGATCTTGATGCCCTTTGGATATGTGATAGGGCCTCATGAGTGTACTAAAACCCTGAAGTGGTTTGACTCCATGGCCACATTTGCGCCCGCCACACCCACTCAAAAATGTACAAAAAACGCTTTCACTCCAGTTTTCACTCACTCAAATCCGTCAAAAATCCAATTTTACTCGGATTTTGAAATTTCTTTCATCATTACACTCCCAGATAGTTGCTTTCTTCAATCCAATATCAAACCCAATTTTTTCGAAATTTTTAGTATTTTTAAAATTTGAAATTCTGAATGAGGATTGTTGTAGTAATCAACAACTCAAATTACGCCTGCGAAATAATCATCAGCAAAATTGAGTTTGATATGGAATTGAAGAAAGCAACTATCTGGGAGCGTAATGGTGAAAGAAATTTCAAAATCCAGTAAAATTGGATTTCTGGCGTGGATTTGAGTGAGTGAAAACTGGAGTGAAAGCGTTTTTTGGGCATTTTTGAGTGGGTGTGGCGGGCGCAAATGTGGCCATGGAGTCAAACCACTTCAGGGTTTTAGTACACTCATGAGACCCTATCACATATCCAAAGGGCATCGAGATCTGTTATTATCAACCTCGCAAGCTCCCCTCCTCAGTCAGTTCATACGTGTACCACGACTTCGTTAAATCTGTATCTCAAGTCTCCTTTATGCTACATCCATACATGTTATCCAATTTTCTCTAGAATCAAGTTTTTTGCTGGTCAGAGACTACGAAGGCTTCGCTACTCGAAATTATAAAAAAATAAACAGGAGCTGTGGAAGCTTCTCTACTTAATGTCCAGCCAGATTAAGAAGGAATAAATTCTACAGAAAAAAAATTACACTCGGTCACGGACAACCTACAATTAACTCTTTTATAATCATTACTGCTTTGGTAGGTGTTGCTTTGTTTCATTAAATTCATTCCACCACTAATAGCACTGCATGGCAGTTGTAAGTATATACTTATCTATGCATGTGTATGGATAATACTCGCTACTAAAATCTGCAAGTCCTCCTAAAAGCTCTAATTAGCACCAAGATAGTTAATACGCATTCATAAAAACACTTATAGGCTGTAAAGTTGGTTAGTGCAAATACTCATACTATTGAAACATTTAAATTTTATTGGCTATGAGAATAGTGAGCACATCACAACTGGTTTGTCGCGTACACAAAAATACGCATTTCTTTGTTGTAAACTAATAATTCTAAGCAATCATAATTGTATTGTCAATATATCACGAAAAGTATGCACTCAAATGATAAATAGATGCACAATTTAGTGAGTATATATGTGAACTGTGTGTATATGCATGTAGCACTTTAATGATTTATTCTATATAGATAAATACGATGTGAACATACATATCTTGAATTTTTTGCAATAAAGTTGTAGCATGGACATTTAACAATGGCTCATCTGTCAAAAGACTTAAACTTTTTCATGTATAGATTTATTATTGTCGTGCTCCATCATCAATAAACCAATTCAATCAAGAGGGATTACGTATTGAAATATTTTTTACCTGTGCAAGTAACTATCTCAATTTATAAAATATAGTGGCTTCCTTATAATCTCTTCTTGGGTTGTATGTTCATAATTACATCTCACATTTTCCGTCATCACATTTAATACATTTACCTAGAAAAATCTTAAATGATAACTACTAGTAAATGTTTTCGAAAAATCCTAATTGATTTAGCTTAAAATTTGGGTATACATACATATGAAAGTAAGCAGATGCATATTTTCATTACCACGAAGATTACTAAAAGTTTTTTTATGCATGCACAAACGGGTTGTGTGATGATGATGATGGAGATTTTTGCCTGTCATATGAACACAAAAGCGAAACTGAAAATAACTAGTGGCCGTTTATTTTTGTGTGGACGAAAACAGCATACTAATGACTCAATGTGGCCTGTGAATATTATTGTGTTAATTTTTTTAACTTATCGGTTTACTGTAAGAGATTTGGATGGGATAAGCAATCAGAATTTTATACATATTATCTGTAGTCTCGTCTCGTTCTCTGTGTGTTTTGTCCGACAAGAACAAACTTTTAACCAGTTGCATTGATGCAATGGTTCGTCTTATACTGTTTAGAAGGCACTTAAAATTCTCAGCTCGACTCTTTTTAAATGGACAGGTACTACTCGCATAACTGGATTAACGTGAACCGGTTCAGCTTGTTGTAAGGCTTAAAATATTATTAAGGTTGCCGCAATAAAAAGTGACAATGAAATTTGATTTCTATATATAATTACGGAAAAAGTTGCTTTAAAAGTTGTCCAGTTCCGGACATTCGGAATGGATTACATGAGATTATTTTATTTCAATAACTTTATTTAATGCTGCGCAAAATAAGAATTATAGTTTTCAAAACGATGATGCACTGTTATGCTCAAGTTTATTGTGCAACACAATAATTGTGACTATATATGCATCAAAGTTTTAATGACGACCACCCGTCACATGCACAATTAAATTAAGGCAAAAACTAGCACACACACTTCATTTAAACAGTTGATTGGACTAATAAAGTATCAACTCAAGTTAAATCTTTGCTTGACAAGATGGATAAAAAGAGCCTGTGGGTCCTTGAAGTTTCAAGGTTGGCGTTGTTTTGTGACTATTAGAATATATATGCTCCATGTACAATGTATTTGTATACCAGTGAGAATAAGGAACCGTATTGTGCGAATTGTAGAAGGAATACAATCCATCCATCCATATTGTTGTAAATTCTTCTTTTCTGTACAGTCACAGGAATGGATGTACAAGTTGTCTTTGCATCTTTATGTAACCATAATAAATTACCTACACAAATACATTTTATCGTACTTTGTTGCTTTTTGCTGGAGAACGTTCTGCTCGTGTTCTTTTCAAATCCATTTAAAATGCACCAAAACATTTTCATTACCATTAGCATTAAACGCGTCGTGTAATAAGAAAGAATAACAACCGACTAACACTTGTGTACGTCGTGTAATTATTATAAAATGTAAGCTGTAAAATTTTTACATACTTGTGAAAATGACGGCAGAAATATGTTAAAATAATGGACACCACAAAAAATGATGTTAAAGTATAATACGGCTTAAATAAGTACCCATCGTCTCACACTTTCATGATATGTATGGTACGAGTATAATGAATGATACTTGCACTGTAAAGAAAATTTTAAATTTTGTAAACCTCATAAGACTCGGTCATTCTCTTTGATATCATCACATCTGTCATTACCATTCCGTTTCATGAATGACGATGTATTCACCTTCACTACCTGCATGTGTATGTATGCACGTTTAATCTACTATGTATAGACCTTAATTCAAACTCATCGTCTTCCACAAGTCTGGACATTTCATTATGAGTGCAAATATAGCGAGGGTGGAATATGTACTTTTAAGAACAGGACGAAAATAAACCAGCATAAGCGTTAAGAACTTCAACCATGGTATTTAGTATACAAAAGTCGAGGAACAAGACGACATCAGCTTCACGATGAAACCATACGAGTCAATCTTATTCATCTTCAACAATAATACTTTTTTCGTTTTTTATTCCCTTCCACCAAGCTCTGCATGAGGATTGTTAGTTCTGCTGATTACCAAGTTGATAATGGTCTTTAATAGGAAGAAGAAAATGAGCGTGAAGTAAACCTGTTGTCCAGTGATATATAAAAATGTAACTCTCCACCTGCATTGAATCTTCTCCAAGTGTAAATTACAGTTGTGTGTTATTTCTTACGTGTTGTGTATGTATATACTTTGGGCTTTTTCCATGCAGTGATATCTTTGGCAGAAGAGTTACTTGTCCATTAAATGTTTTAGCATGTGGAACAGCAATACATAAAGAAGTGTGTATAATACCATTGTATTGTAAGAGCCTTAAGAGTAATTCTATCCATGCTCGCCTGAATTTACGTCAGCCAGCAAATAAGTAGTTTACGCTGAGCTTAGCGTGAAGGAAATCTTCTCTTCGAGCAGAAAGATAGGTTTAAGAAAAAAACACAAAATTAAAATCCTGGTTGATTTTGGATTGAAATGGATCGAATTCTATTTTTAAAATGTATGTACTTCAACCTACTAAGAAATGATAAATAAAATGACATTTTAGACACAATTCTTGAATTATCATAGTTTTCTCTGCATATTTACTTACGGATGCATTTCTGCCATAGTTAGCAGCACTATCTGGGTCAAATATTGTACTTTGTGTTGTTCAAGAAGTAAAATGTGTGTGACTGGATCTGTTTCTTGAATCCCCAGTCTACACACGTAAGTACATATATTTATTCGAGTTTCTTTTTCTTTCTCTCAAAAAAAGTTTACAGTAACGTGAGCTAAAATAAGGACCATGTCATGGAGCGAACGAACCGAGTGGAAAGATAAAGACGAGAGGAATAAATAAAGGTACAAAGACAGCTCATTAGATCACTGAAGGTTGATAAGCAGTTCGGATAGAAGAAGTAAACTATCAACTTTTGACTGAATCTTCCTCTTGGTCTCGTACTTTAGTTGGTGGGAATAATAGGAAGAAGAAGGCATATAGTCACTGCATACACGCTGCAGTCTATTTTGTGTCCGTCGGTATACCCATTGCAGCAACAGAAATAAGTGCTCTCTCTGCCTGCAATAAGAAGATGAACACAATCAAGAAGAAAATCTTAAATCTTCGACCGACTGTTGTAATATTCATTTCATTCCCTCCGGCTCCTCATCCACGTACATTATACTACTTTCGATTCAATCACGGGGATGATGATGAGATGGGAAAGAACGAAACAGACAAAATTTTAGAATCAAGTTTATACAGTCACAAACCACAATCGGATGAATAAGATAAATCTTTGAAACACGATTTTCATTTCCTACAAATCTTGATAAAAACGCGAGTTAATGAAAGTCACCGTGCAATAAAAAGCATGTACGTACATCTGCATAATAGTAAAGATTACGCATTACGTATGTATATACATACTTGTGCATAAATAAACTGCGAAACCTACAAAGAATCTATAAAACTGGAATGATTTTGATTATGTCTGTAGAATTAAAAATATTAAGAAACCAGAACTATTAATAGTTAACGAGAAATACCAAATCCTTATTAACAAACCAGATTCACTCAATTTTTTTATTTTGTTATATAACAAGTTGAAGAATAACGAGTATGTATGTATCTGTACACATACACATAATTTGTACAAAGCTATATACGTGTGTACACAAGTTCACTATTTACAAGTTATGGCAGCAACACGAAAATATCTCCAATTACTATAACCGGATTATTATGAGATAGTACACATCGGCAAATCAGCAAGGTCTTCATTTGGTCACGCAAATAGACAATATTTGGTAATGTTTGTGGGTTCCTTACGATTGAATACGTATGAAAGTGGCTCTTCACTGCGTTTTGCATTATTATGCAATTTAGCAATTTTACTAGCAAAGTCGACTCTTCCTCAAAGTGTATGGATTTGTTTTCCATTTCGCTAAAAGTTATGCATATGTACCTACATACGTAATGGATTAGGTTATGCCTAGTTTAAACGGATGATAAATCAAATTAAATTATATATCGATTGAATATAGATACGATTATGCAAAATAATTAAGTATATGATTTTAAATTCTTCATGAAGACAAGCATGATATAAAAAATAGCTTGTTATTGCTTTTTCTATTCATACATGAATTAATGTCGAAATCAAGATTAAGAACAAGTCGTGTCAGCTTTGTTTGGTTGGATTCACGAACGAACTGACATTTTTACACAAGCACAATAGCATTATGTATGTAATGTGTGTGTATGTCCAATAACCTTGGCCTTAACCTCGATATGAGATCCTTTGTTAACTAATAATGCTCCAGCTGTGGTGGTTGAGCTTTATCAATAATTATTATTACCTGAGGTATGGTAGCAAAAAAAAACATGTATGTACATATACTATTTATCACTTGAAGAATATGCAAACTAAATTCCCCACGAGCTGCTAAAATAATATTATTTCACAATCTTTGATCGTGCTAATTTCCAAAATTTTATTTGAAGGTAGAAAAAGAAAACGAACCAACGATTTTCCTGTACTTCACTTTAACATTTCCTGTTATTTACTTCACATATAAACCTTCCGTGCTGACAACAATAAAACCAAAGAAAACTGAAAATAAATTGTTTGTGCGTGGTGGTTTTGTTATCTGGATGTGAGATCACTCTCTGGTAAGAGCATATGTACATAACTACGAGGATGGAATGATGGATCGACCCAATGTACTGACTGAATCCATGCATAAACATACAGGAACTGAAAGTTCAAGTTGAAGGTTATTACATCACTCACAACTTGGTTGATAATGGTGCTGTGGTGTATCAGCCATAAATTGATAAGCCATAATTAATTAATTCTGTGATGCTCTCTAATATATTCTATATTGTTCCATAGACAAGTGTATGTACACAAAATTATACGCTCTCAGCCCCTTCAACTTGCAAATACATGGGATAATGTGGAAGACAATTATTTAACTACTGAACAGAGAGATAGTGCATTCGTATTTACAATCGGGGATTATATTTCTGGATAACAATTATGCTACACATAAGTAAGTACACCTAATTGAATACTTAATGTCATGTCATATTGCTCGAGACTCTATCTCTTCCTTTATCAAATTAAGTATAATAATCCGAATAGGAAGTATGTACGAGTGCATTCTCCCAACAATTTTCTCAAGAAAAAAGTAAATTCCCACACGTTCCACATAAAAATTATAGTTCTATCAGTTCCATGGACAAAAAACGCCATGCAATTCTACAACTTTATGCACATCACATTTATGTATGATGTACATACGACATGTTGGACAGAGGATAACTTAGATTTTATTTAAATATTAAAATAGAATTTGTTTTTATCTTTACTGTTTTTTATGCATTCAAATCAGATTAAAATATAGTTGGCCTCTTGATTTTCAAAATCAACTTCAATAAAGGAAAATTGTCTGAATATATTCCAAAGCTACTCATGCTCTTCAATTCTTGTTTATCATACATGTACGACGTACGACTATGAAGTCACCAATACATATCAATAATCGGTACAAAAATAAATAAAAGTAGTTCAAAAGCTTTGGGTACGTTTTGGCGTGTAATACAAGTCTGAAAATTCTAAAATTAGGGTCAATTTATGAAAATACAAGTCTCCGACAACACTCAACTTCTTGAAGAATGTCGGGCACCGTGAAACTGATTAAACGTCACGTCTATGTATGTATGTAGAGTTTACGAGTAAAATAACTTTGTAGTTGCGACAAAACCTGCATTTTGCATTCAAATTTGCATACCAAATTTAGGGCTGAGTCTGATCAAATCAACTCAATGCGTATATTTGACAAGTGAACACGATTCGGTTCTATTTAAGCTACAAAGCTTAAGTTTGCTTGCAGAGCTTGCAGAGTTGGTGGACGTTTCATTCTAAATTAGCTAGTATGGAATGGATTATGTTGGCATTTGTGCCATTTGGCTAAAGTTGTCCTTGTCAAGAACAATCAGCAGTCATCAGTCAATTTCATCCAATTATTCCCAAATGGGATTGCGTTATTCATTTACCTTGCAAATAAGTGTGTTCAACTGGGAGTTTAGTCTTTTGGATTAATAAACGACTTTCTTGAGAGAGAACAACGAGCTCAGAAACGCATTGTCGGTTGAATAAGCCATTTTCCCATATAAGGACAGCCAGTCGCGATTATTCAAATTGTATTAATCAGGGTTTGTGAATTTGGTTGTTTATTTGATATCCATTACACGGCTGGAATTTCTGACGAGCCTTTTGCTTACTTCGACAGAATACAAACTGACAAATGGGCATTATTCTTGTGTATGAATACATACGTACGTACACTACATGGAATTAAAAGTGTCAAGCGAAGTTGACAGTTCAGAGCTTTATGCAGGATGTCATCCCAGAGTCCCAGACAGACGAGAGAGAGAGGTTCACTTGACGGATGAAATAATGGTTCGAATTTTCCTCGGATAAGTATTTACTACATCTCTCTCCGTCTCTTTGTGAATAATGCAACTTTTGGTGGAAAGTGGAAACTGACGGACCAAATAAGCTTTATATTTATCATCATAATTATTCTGTCAATTTATTGCTATTATTAGAACTATAATAACTAAATGACAGATGCTAATTGAAGACCGAGTTTGATATTCTAAACTAAAATTAATTTTTGGCAAAATGAACATAATTCTGCCTCGTCACCACTTGTGCACTTTATTCAATCAACGAGGTAAATATATACATACGTTACTTTCCTCTGTAATTTTGACGCGTTTGTTAAAATTAAAGCTACACAGAATGCGTACACTCATTTACATATTTCATGCAGGAGATTTTACGAGTGGGTGGTTGCCAAATTGGACCAGATATCAACTCAGTGATTACAAAGCTAATAAAATCTAAAGTACATACTATCTACTATCTACTCCCATTTATTTAAAAGTGCTCCATCGCATACACGAACCCTAAGCCAATGACAGACCAAAACCAATTTCTGTAAAATGGCAAAGTAAATGGCACCTGCTCCACATATCCATGCACAACAATCTAAAACTGTAAAACCACACGCCAAATATGACTGCATACTAAAGCAAGTTGTTGGAAAGTCTTTGGAATAAATAGAGCAGAGCAAACGACTTTGCAGAATATTATGAGAGAAAGCTGTGACCGTGGACATGGTACGTACGCGCAGAACTTTGAATAGTTGATGGTATAATAATAATACGTAATATGCATGCATACCTTCTCGCTCTGAGGAGCTAAGAAGGAGAAGGACGAGGAAAGGAGTCTAGGATAACATTACCACTGAAATGAAAATGATTTATGATAGCAAAACGAAAATAATTTTGACTACTGCTGTTGCCATCGTCAGCATCTCTCTAGCCCTGCTGCTGGACTATTAGAATCTCTGTAACAAAAACGACCAGTAAAAGCAGCAGACTCCCGTCAAATGCATCCACGACTGCGACGTTTATTTTAATGGAATGAACATTCTGCACACAAATTCTGTAATTGAATATAAAGAGAGAACATACTTGGTGAAATGTACGTGGCTCTAGTTTGAGGATATTTGTTGATCCTTTATCCAAAATGCCCTCAAGAGCTATTATGTTGTGCTTTGTGTTTATTAAAACTAACAAATCCAGCTGCACGTGGTGATGATAAGAATACTATTAAATTGAGGATAAATATAGTCCATACCAACCACCTGACGTTGCACAAAATTAATAAGTCAGGAAAGAAAAGCGCTTTTGGTCGAATTCCCTACATTCTATAAAGGTCAAGGTTACTGGCTTTTTCACAGTCGGCTCGTAGTAAGCAACTATGTAATAGCAGTGCACAAAAGAGGACGGAAAGACAACTAATATGTATGAAAGTCAATGCAACTTTCTTACTACATACACACTACTCGCATTTATTACCCAAAAACGGCTTAAGCTCTGTCCAACAACCTTTCAATTTTCTATGTTGACTTTGACTCTCTTTGCACGAATAGACATCAACAAACCAATGAATCAGCCGAATAATAATGTCCCATAGAAGACGGTCGTATTCCAATGTCCTTAAAAGCACGGAGTTTGGTGAAGAGTGGAGTGAAAGTCAAAGCAGTCGACGATGCGGAGCAATAACAAATGAAAAAGAAGAAGAACGTGTCAAGATGGAGGAGATCGACAAGGGTTCGGTTGGTTATCTTCCGTTGGCCAGAATCACGGTGTCGTTAGTGTAAGTAAGCACGAGAGGAAAATGAAATACACAGAATGCAACCTTTTATTCGATATATTTCTTTAGTGTATCTGCAAATAGTTCCCTTTCCATTGGTAAACCGTTTCATTTCACCAGATTTTATTCATTCTTTCCCTTTGTGATTCTATGTACTTGTGTCATTCCATTTTATATCGTCAACCGTAATGTGTTCATGTCATTTCAACATGTTTGCTTTTCTTCCTCTCCCAGTTGGCACTCAAGTTTACTAAATGTTGCAATTTGAGATTGCTTCAAAATTATTATGTACTTTTCCTTGCACAGCAGACCAGTATTGGTACTTGTTTCACGGTGTACAAGGAACTTTGCTCTCAGCAAAACATTTTAATTGAAACTGACTCGGGTACATTTCATACAAAACAAAATGTCAAGACGCTCTAAATTTTCATAATTAATGTCAACCATGAATATGCGTAAAGGAAGGTTGTTGGTTTGAAATTGACAATGTGGTAAATTTTCTCAAATTCTCGTGGTGTTTGGTAGAGAGATATTTATTACCGTGTGGTAAACTTCCTAAATTATATATATGCCTTATAAAACCTATAAAACAGGTGTGGTTCACTTTTCTCATTTTCAACTCTGGTTACTTATCAACATGCATATGTTACGTGTTGTAGAGGGCTATAAATAAATAGTTGAAACGTGAGGTAATCGTAACAGCGTTTGCTCATTCACCTCCAATATTTATTATTTATCACAAACGACCAACCAGAAAAGGGTTTCACTTCATTTTTCCATTCTTGCAAAGTGCAGAGAGATGTAGATTGAGGAACGCCTATAAACCTTAAATTAAGGTGAGGTGCAAATGGTGAAATCGGGTAGGATTTTGTATTGCACTATGGATGGACTGACCAGCTTAAATAAAATCGAATTCATCGTCATAACCAAAGATCTGTACTCGTCAGGAATCGGCCCAAAGTAAGTATATGCCTGTTCACGCCCAGCACTTAATCCTTTAAATGGACTTTTAATTTTACGTTTCCCATCACAGCACAGGTTCAAGGCAGGAGGGAATAGCTTCTCTCAACAACTTGGAGATCTCATATATTCATAAACAACGCCTGTTCTTAGGTTATTGTATAATCCAACTGCTTGGTTGGGTAAGGGAATAAAAAAATATGGTTATTTAGATCATTTTGTTTTATTTGATAGCAGAAAATTTTGGGAAAATTTTCGCATAATTTTTCTGTTACAATTAAAATCTTAAATTATTAACATTTTTCATATGCATTCAAGCATAGCAGGCAATTTTCAGCCAATGTACCCACTGTCTGGACTAATTGATTCAGAGAACAGCTCACTAAATATGCTTCCCCATAATTTTGTCTCTGACCCCTAACACTATGAATATATGAGCTTGTGCTTGATATGTTAACGGATATTGTTTATAACGTAGTTACTCACCTCCCAACTTGACAAATAACAAGGTTTTACTTTGTATATCTGTTTTGAGATTGTCCCATTGTCGATAAAAGTAATTTCGAATCAAAAATGTTTGATTCAAATAATTTATTAAACTCAGGAAGTTATAAAAGTCTGAAAAGTTATGGCAAACGCACACACGCGTATATTCATAAATACGTACGTATAAAGTATGTATGTATGTATGCAAATATGTTACATTGTGCAATAAAACCGAATTATTTAGATTTTCTGCCGTGCATATTCATTATTCTAGTCCACGTAAAACCAAAATTTAACGCGTATATAATTTGCATGTTTATATTTTACCAAGAAAAGCAATCTAACAAAATGTTACACAGAAATATATTGCGATATAAAAGCAGAAGACAGACAAGTTTTATTGCATTCATAGTATAAAAGTTCATGAAAAGATCGTCCGTATGTACTTAAATACACATAAATGAAATAAGGTGTACCGTGTGTACATACTTGAGTATGTGTGCGTGTGCAGTGTATTATGTATTTTTCTTAATGGTTTTTTCCATGATCAGCGAGTAACATTAAAATTTATAGTTTATCGGAGTTTTGATTAGAGTAGTTTTATTCTATGGAACAAGTATGTAGTGGCACTGGCACGTCATATTTTGGTCGATCGACCGATCAGATTCAAGAAAAGATGAAAATTTGATTGTTTTTTTATTTCAATTTAACATTAGAACAAACTGTGAGTCGTAATAAAATAAATGCTTGAATGATACTAGATTTCTCTATGCATGTATTTTGCGTATCGCAGTTATTTAATCAATTCCACTTTATATTGACGAACCAGTGACACAGGCAACTCGTCAACTCACCCAAATTAAACGACTGCTCTGTTCTGTTATTACATTTCAAGATCGATATAATACTTTAAATTATTGAGTAAGTCGGGTTGTACGAGAAATGAGAGATGGGACAGAAATGCATGTCTATATTTTCCCTGCTATACTGGACAGCAAACAATAAATAATTTCCCATTTCCTTGATCAGAGTTAAAACCTCAATAATTATAATCCATGTATACCTCAATATCGTGCCAGGTATGTGCATGCGTGAATTCCATAGATGAGAATATACACAAAATTATATACAGTATGATAAAAAAATCTTACCCGGAAATGATCCAATAAATCTCGGACAAATTTTTATTCGACAATTTTTGAATGGCTTATAATAATTGCAAGTATTTTAGTTCAATCAACTGCCACTGATTCATATATATTTATACAATTGTACTTTTTATAGTAAAAACCGATTTATCTAACCGTAAATAAAAATTATCACGAACGTGTGTGATGTATATTATGTAGACACAGCATGCATGGATCCTTTAACGCGTGCCCTCTATTTTATATTTATTATGCTGTAGATAATATAGTAAAATGCACTATTTTTAGCATTATATAGTTGCAGAGCTAGTCGTATGCAACATGAACGAGCATAATAACAACATCAAAAAGAGACTTTATGCATTAGTTGGTTAACTGATATCAGAAATTTCAATTACTCGGGGTTATCACTTGTGTAACTTTAAAGATTAACTTAACTAATCTTGAGTTACGTCAAATAGTCAAACTCACTCTTATTCCACACTCACACACACATTTGAAACACTTGTGATAAGTCAACTCACATAAAGCATGAAATGCAACTTGATATCTCTGTGGATGGAGATCAAACCATACGCTTTCGAGCTTTTTTTCTATTATTGTTATTATTATTAAATGTTCTTATCAGGGTTACGCAATATTTGACCTACTGCTTAAAACCAATGAAAATGATGACACCAAATATTTTGATTAGTTGTGAATTTTTGAAAAGCATATTTTTCATGGAGTAGAAATTCAGGAGCGAGCGAGCTCTTTCTTCCAGCTCTCGCCAACAACTGAGGAGAACTCCACGGACACGAGGGCAGTGTTGATACAGCATTTATTCTTCCCCTCCCCCACTCTCACACACAAACCAACACGACGGAGAGAGTACCAAAACCTTACCAAAACCAAAGCCACATTTTTTTATCGGTGGTTATAATAGTAATAATGGCGATACTATGATGGAGAGATATTTTTACGAGAAGGAGGATTTTATGAATTCGGAAATTGCTTCATGTGTTTCGCATTATAAATGTGCATGCATGAAATATTAACGCACGAATAATGATTGCACAATTTGCACTTTACTCTCGTACAAAGATTCTTAATTTCGAAAAAAACTTACTTACAAGCAATGTTACAGAGAATGTTTGGTACAATGCGCATTATGGAGGGCAGAAGTTGCGAGGAATATGAAGAAAAGATAGACTTTGGGCGAAAACAGTAAAAAGTTGGGCACAAGGGGGCATTTATCTGGTACCCTGGGGGGTCCTTTCCTTCAGCACCACTTTATTATCTCGAGTCTCATAAAACTACAACTTTTTCTAGGTGTAGATTGTGAGTAGAATTTACTGAATCTAGTCAGTAAATGGAGAATATAATGGCTTCAAGTTAATTATTGTCCTCAGAAGTTGTCAGCTATTAAAGAATGGTCAATCGCTAGACTAGTCCGTCCGCAAGAAACAACTTAATCAATCACAGGTCATCATCCGGGTTCGGTGCCCACTCGACACTTGATAAAATCTCATAATCAATTTGCAAAATTATTCTGATGAAACCATTAGTTTTTTTTCTTTCTTTTATCAGCAATGAGCAAAATTCTGAATCAATGTTATCACCATTCTTGAGTAACCCCAGTATTTTTAGGACTTTGCTAACTGAAATAATGTAGATCAAGTAAAATATGTCTCATTCTACCTCCTACCGAAGATTTTATAAATATGAAAATTCTCACGTTTCATAAAGTATCATACTACGAGGTTGATGGTACCGAAAAGTGCCATCAGCACCATCTCCAAACCTTGTCCATTTCTCGGCAACTATCAGAGTTTGTTTACAAATAGAGATGATGATTTGATCTATCCGGTAATAAAATGTCTATCTTTTGGCGATGAACATTATTATCACATAAAATTCACTCACATCAGTCTGCTAACAAATTCATTTCACATCACGAACACATAGATTCACAAAATTTGCACACTTTGCATAACACGAATTAAGTTGCTCAAATAGTTGGGCGTTGTTTTTGTAGTATCACATTTCGCTAGTTTACAGATTTGCGTGAGTTTTAGCAGAAAGGTGAGAAATTTGGCAAAACTTTAATTGTTCTAATTTTTTATTTTTTAAAAAATGTCAAGACATATTTATTTATTTTTTAATTTGGTGCATAGTTCCTTCGTCAAGAACAACTCCTACATTCCACAAAAGATACAATCCACCAACCATGACGTCGACATATTCGCCGGAAAGTCAAATGAACTTTGTCATACAGTGGTTCCGAGGATGGAGTGAGTTTCAAAAGGAAGATTTTGTAATTGTTCTCTCCCAGCTGATAAAACAAGGGGGCGATCTTGACAAGAATGGCGTTGGAGATGATGCTACAGAAAATAACCTAGTCAATGGCTTCAAGGGGTTACAAACGACCTCAGGACGACCACCCTCACTTTTCACATGCCAGGTATGTATTATGTATGTGCATGCAATATGTTTTAATTAATTGTTGATATTTTAAATGATAAGTTTACCATTTAATTTATATTCATAAACTTCAAAAGGTGAAGCTATTCAATGAGTGGTGGACATCGTGGCCGTCAGCAGAACGAGACAAGATGAGTGTCCTTTTTAAGGAAGCAGATCCCAAATTTTACACCGCAGTCGAGTTAGAAATGAATGGAGAGAGTCAAAAACTTAACGAGGATTTCATGGCGGTTCAAAAGTCAGAGGTCGACGAAAAGCAGATGTCCAGTAACGGAGTCATAAATAAGCAAGATGCGCCTGTTTTTAATGTGACTAAAGTTTTAATCAATAATGGTCCTTCGTCATTCGGTAGTGTTGACAATAATGACAATGAAGATGCCAATAACCAAGATGTAGGAGAAAATCATGCTGACAATGATGATGAGGGTCGACAGGTGACAAATGGGGGCAACGAGGGTGCAGATGAGCCGATTGCGACAGAAATATAGCATGCATCACGACTTCAGCCAAAGTAGTATTATCTGTCATGTTGTTAAGATTATTGGCTAGCAAAAAAATGCTTGATTGTAAATAATTGAGTGTTGGGATGAGTTTCAGTCGCCATTTTTATTTCAGGACAATCAAAAAATATTACACTCTTACTTTATTAATTCTCTTACTTATTGTTAGCCAATATAGTTTTAGTTTTCAACCAAGATTCATAATTCCATGATTTTTTATCAATTGTAGTAGGAACAATGATTTAACATTCCTTATAGTTATCCAATCCATTCCAGTTGAATTTGTTAAATGCCATGCATTCCACCTCGTAATTCCTTTGTTAAGAAAGCATAATATTTAATTTTAATATTCCCAACACTGCGCAGGTTTGTGTTCAGATTAACTCTACCTCTTCTTATTGATCATTCACAGCTAAAGTAATATTGGCGTGCAAATAAAAGACTGAGGTTGAGCAGCTAGTGAGTAGTTAGAAGAAGTTGGTCAAATCTTATGGCATTTATATAAATACGTAAAGTTTGCTTTACGATCGGTTTCGATTAACTAATTGCTGTTAACAATATCTATGTTCATTTACTAGATGACATATTATATCAACTATGTATATTGTTTTTAATAAAAACAAAAGCTCACAAATTTTAAAATATATATTTATTCCTTGTTGTTTTAATGTTCTTATTAAATGGATTAGAAATGAGGAAACTAGAGTAAAGCAGTTGATTTGGAAATGTGGATTCTTATTCTTTGCACTAGTTATACATTGTGGAATTGGAAGTCATGTACTTTCAATCATAGGTTATCTACACGCGTGATAACAAATGGGTTTTAACTTACGCTTATTAGTTCTAACTTAAATTCTTCCTAATGCTTTTAGTCTGGAGATTAGCTCATCAACATCAGCTACCTTCGCACCGGCTTCACGTACTGGAGGATCTTCCACAGAGAGCACCTAAATTTTCAATATAATATTTGGTGATTTTCATAAAATACCGGCGTCTGATCTGCATGAATGTTGTGGTTGAAGGTTTACCTGAATTCTAGGTTTCAAATCAACCCCAAGATCAGCAGGGGTTTTCTTGTCTAAAGGCTTCTTCTTAGCTTTCATAATGTTCGGCAGTGTCGCATATCGAGGTTCATTAAGTCGTAAGTCAGCAGATATTACTGCAGGTAGTTTAACTTTTATTGTTTCAAGTCCCCCATCAATTTCACGCATAACCGTTAAGCCATCTCCTTCTTTGTCGATCTGTAGAAATGAAAAACTTGTTAATACCTAAACTCTAGTCATACTAATACAGTGCTGTAACAATATAATACCTTAGATGCAAAAACTCCCTGTGGCCAATCCAGGAAGGCTGCAGTCATTTGTGCAGTTTGATTACAATCGTCATCAATTGCCTGTAAGATTGATTGTTATTTTTTTAATTATCCCTTCAAATAATTAGTTCAAACCAACCTGTTTGCCCAAAATCACAATGTCAGCTTTCTGATCGGTGGCAAGCTTGGCCATAATTTTGGCAATGTGGATGGGTTGGAGGGTTTCGTACTGGGGAGAGGGAATTTCGACATGGATCGCCTTGTCGGCCCCCATGGCCATGGCTGTCCGCAGCGTTTCTTGACACTGGGCAGGCCCACAGGAGACGGCGATGATTTCGGAGACGACCTTCTTCTCCTTCAGCCGCACCGCCTCTTCCACAGCAATCTCGTCGAAGGGGTTCATCGAGTGCTTTACCCCATCCGTCACCACGCCCGTCTTGTCCGGCTTCACTCGTACCTTTAACAGTTAATCAGTATCCACAAATTAATAAAATGATCAAGTTCAGCATTTTATTGTATAATTTACATATTTGTTGAATTAATTGATAAATTTTAGCAGAAAGTTTGTCATCCGGCCGGAACGAATTAAAACTTCAAAATTAAAAACAGAAAAATTGCTTACCCTGACGGCATAGTCAATAACCCTCTTACAGCCCACTAGAGCTCGAAGTGCCATTATCTCAATGAGTTGTGAATGTTTTTCTGAAAACTTAAATTTTGCAGATTTCGATTTGTGTAAAAGTTCATATGCGATGTGTTGTAGTTGTGCTGATTATTTACTGCGGGTACAAAGGTGGCCTGCTGATGATACGATGGCTGAGCGAGTTTCCGCACATCTTCTCAGATGGCCCAGCAATAGTTGAGATTCTCAACTTTGTTCAACTTTGATCACAAAAATCTGCATGTAAATTTTTGGATTATGGGCATTTACTTTTTTTAGCACACTTATAATAAGTTCTCGATTTATTAATTAAAATGTTCTTAGTGAAGCTCACATTTTAATTACACCATGTGATTAATTACGTAAACCATATCATATAAGATTTGCCCACGATGTCATGTCAATGTTATTCAGAGCGATATATTCAGAAAAATTACTGCTTTAAGTGTTTAATTATCAAACATTTAATTCTGAAATATGTTACTTCAAGTATAGAAGGGCTTGAGTGGAAAAATAATTTCGGAAAAAGTGAAACCCTCGATTAAGGCAATGATGAGAATTAAGGATATGCACACTTACCTATTTACTACGTACATGTTTTGTATGATATTCGTCTATTATTGGTACGTGTCCTTTCGGCTAACGACCCAGCACTCCCACTTTTTGATTACGCTGCAGAAATTCGCACTTATGATAGAACGGATGCCAGGGACTTCTCATATTGGCAAATAGTTTGAAGTCATACTTGCATAATCCCAAATGGGGGAGGGTAACTCGGAAATTTGCCAAGTATCGGGCAAGTGTGTCAATCATTACTTTAATGCAATTATATAATTTCAGTCGAGAGGTTGATTCTCACGATTATTAGCCAATTTTATACATAATGCCAGCTTATCCTGCAATAGTCTGTAATCCATATGACCTTTCATATATTGGGCCCAAAATATACTATATATACCCAATTACTGCTTTCTCATCAATTCTCATCAGGGAGTACTTATAATGGCGATTCGTATGACAAATTTTTTATAGGAAAGTGTAACACAGGAACTCAAATGGTATAAAAAATGAATATATGAATTTTTAATCAATTTTAAACCTTGTTAACCAATTAAATTAGCTCTGATTAATATCATCCTTTTTTCCTTAATCGTTTAATCATAGTTCAATAACATCTTCATTACATCATCAACATGCTATTTTGTATATACACGTGTTTTATGTGCATTCATCCAGTCTGCCTAAACCGACGAGAACAAGGCAATTTTCTGCATAACCGTGTTTTTGCTCTCTACAGCAAGATAGCGATTCCATTCTTTTTCGTCTTCACTTTAAATTCTCATTTGTTATCTCCCCGATGGTTACCAGAACACAAAACATTTTATTACAAAGAAAACCGAAGATAATTTTAGCATTGCGACTCAGTGTTCTTGTCGGTTTGTCTGCTGCTGCTGCCAACCATGGTTTAACATTATGATGGCTCTGTTCTTCTGTCTGTTCATACAAATGAGAATAAAGATAAGAACATAAAATTATATCGCAAACAACGAGCCAATACCGAACTTCTCGCTGGATTCAAGTCAAGAACAAACCCTTTCCAATATATCCATCTGACACAAGTCCAACCCAACAACATCCCGCAGAGCGCAGCGAGAAAGAAAAGCATCCAATTTCATTTAATTATGTAGATAACGTAACACGCAGAAATCAACAGTTTCTCATCTTTAGTTTTTCTGCTCGAAATGAAATTAAAGCTAATTATAGGTATGAAAATGTATAGAAAAAATATGCACGTATGCCTATGTATATTTTAAGCAATATGTATGTTGGAAAAAATTCCTTATCACTTTGGTTTTTAAGACAACTACTGTCAGTCAGTTATTTGATGGACAAGTTACATAATGCAGGAATAATAATAGTGGCTCTAATTGTTTGTCCAACAGTCAACCCCGTGTACAATTTATCATCCTTTAACTTCGAAAGAATGTCAGTTATTGCTTTCACGGTGTTATTAATCTTCCGACAACCAAGCCATTTATATTATCCCCACTTTGGCAAGCATTGCATCTTACCCATCTTGCCACCACCCACCACCCGATTGTATAACGAAGCCAGTCAGTCAGTAGTGTCGTGTAGCAAATAGCATCCTTATCATTAAGCTTTGCACACATATCCACCAAGTAGCTTGAGATACTGGCTGTCTCAGATAAGTGATTCTTCTTGGAGCACATCATCGACAGCAGAAGTATTACTATCTCCCTCCATACCCACTTTTGTATAATGGCACTCGTCGACTCTCGAAATCTCGGAGGCATCATTTTGTTTGGCGTTTGTCTCATTGCTTTGCTTTTCTTTCGTCCTTCTTGTTTTCAGCAGAATCTGCATGTGGTGTGGCTTGGTTTGCATAAAAATTCGCATTAGTTTTTATCTCTCCCGAGTTCATTACGTTGCACTACACGAACCAGTGTCGTGTCGCAATTTCCTCTCCAGTTAATACTCTTGCCCTATTCGTTCAGTGTTCAGTTTACTTTGGTAAGGTTTAGACCTGAGGAAAGATGAGACCTATAAATAGCCCCTTGTGATGGGGCTTGAACGTGGTAACAGTGAGGTATTCCCATCCGTAACACACGACGTCGACGACGATGGCCAAACAACATCTTCGAATCGGTCCGGATTAACTCAGTCCGCAACCAAATCCATCACAATACGACCAATACGTGACTGACATGATGAACGTTCCATCCTCATCAATATCCAAATCCGATACCGATACCATTGCACCCTCATCGGACCCGGTTACAAAAACAGCATCTCGTCTTCCTAAGTGTCTTATTAAGTTTCAGAGCCAATAAAGTTAAACTTAAATAAAGAAAGAAAAGACGTTATTGTGATTAATTGTGAAGAATAATCTTGATACATCGCTCTGTGTTTTTTGCATACGTGCAACGCAACACAACGCAACACGCTGCGCGTAACGTAACGTTGCTGTATGCACCATGGGTAAGCCAACCAAATGCAATGTCATGTTTCGCATAAACTTGTAAGGTATGCATGACCTACTGGATTGTTGACTTGGAGTTTAGAATGCTTATTGATTCTATTAAATTTACCCGTGTAAATTTTTTTTAACCTCCAACAGGGAACAGGCACTCTGTCGCCTCAATTGAGTTTGTGAACAAGAGCGACTGTTCAAAAATTGAGGTGCAAGTGGGGAATCAGTCAAAGTTTATACAGCCCAAAGGAATCACAAAGTTTCAGGTTAGTTATCATTCATGTGTGTCGTATCATACGACACACATGAATGATACGACTCGTATGTTCAGATTGCGGACAGGATACAAATATGGCCATTTTGCCTATTATTCAGTTTCCAATTATTCAGCAATTATTAAGTTTTACCCAAGACAGTAGTTAGTTAGTAATATTACTTGAATACCCAATGATAAATAAAGTACATGCTACTGCTAGTGTCGGTTTAATGATGTGAAGAAAATAAACAAACCATCGCAAAATTTTAATAAGATAGGAATTTTTATAAAATTAGGTGCGCAACCAATACTAAATAATATTTACAAAACTTCATACCGATGATCGACTGAACGTCTTGAACTTGATGCATAATCTGACAAAATTAATACGTATTTTTATGAGTTTGTCTACTTTCTTTCAGATTTTGGAAGCAACTCCGTCAGTTGTTAGAGGGTATGACAAAGCAGGGAGACAAGTTCATGAAGTAATTAATCTTAAAAATTTATGTAGTACTTTTTCTAACAAAAATGTATTTTTGTAGGTAACATTTTATATCATTCTTGCAGGTGAAATTTACAATAGGATCCGTAGCATCAAGTCAAGTGTGGAAAGTGACCAATAGTGGGGTAAAGCATAAAAGATCTCCTTTCTTTACTGAAACGCACACGTGGCAGCATTAGTTATGTATTTAGTACTGAATTAACTGTGCTAAATACTTATGTGTATAATTACCTAATTATAATTTAGCATAAGTTGCAATTTGTCTTTTTAAGGATTCTTCATTGTTTCTTATCCAATTTCCTATGATTCTACCTCTTTGTATTGAATTTAATACTGCCTAATTACATAAACAGCTTCTAAACAAGTTTGCTCATTTTACAAAAAAACTGGAGTTTGTTATCGATCGCATTTAAGTATTTACAGTCCGTAATCACTTTGATTTTAATTTTCAAATAATAAAGACCAATTTCTATAATTCAAGATTTAGGTAGTATAATAATTTGCATTATAGTTTGAATTTTATTTCTTATGTTGGTATATTTTACAGGTTCCAATATGTACCTAAATACATACTCAATGAGGGTTCACTATGCTATGCTAGTTTAAATTACATGATTTTATCCACATATATACATATCTACAAACATACATATGTGAAAAATATTCTGTATAACTTGGTGTTACGGGGTTAAACTACTTACAGAATTATTGCAGTCTGGCTTATTCTGATCTTTACTAACAAAGTCTGACAAGGTTTCAAATTTTTCGTTGAAAGTCTTAAGTACCAATTCTAATTGCAGTTGAAGGCGATCCAGGCGCATTTCAATTCTACGAACCGCAGCAGCGGTTTGCTGCTCAGTTGTTGTAGTATTTTTTACAGACCCAGAATAACTGTTGTTGTAATTGTTGCTGGAATGAAGCCGGATGTCGGGATGACCACGAATGGTTCGTGACGAGTGCTTGCTCGCTGCGACGCGCAAGGCTGCAATTTTCAAATCTTTCGGTAGCCTTTGATCCCTCGGATCGTTCGGACGGAAATAATATGACCAACTGGATTTATAATTTCATAACATACAATTAACATAATTGTATTTCAAGATCTTTGTGAAAGTCAAATATTAAAAAAACTGGTTAGTTAAATCTTACTTGTAAGACGATGGAACCAATAAGGCTGAACTAATGAGGACAGAACCAATTGATCTTGGGACACAGGATTGTAAGCGCTTTGAAAAGATAAAAGATTCGAGTCTTGAAATTAATGCCGTTTGTCTTGATAAGCGATTCAATTTAGCTCCTTTTTGTAATCCCTAATAATCAATAGTAAATATTTTACTTTCATAATGCATAAGTAATAGTACTTGTATATGCATAATTTAATTTTAAAATATGCACAGCGTATGCCAACCTGAATGTCATGAACTGCTAACCCAACGAGCCTATTAAATTAGAACGGCTGAATTATACATATGAATTACATGACAAGTTCAAGTTCATTAAAAGTTCATTACAAATTCATTAAAACGATGGTGACAATGATGACGAAAGAACCGTGGAGAATGTGGGCAGTTATGGGATACAGCGCTGGATCGTTTGCATTATCTTCGTTATAAAATAAATCCTCATAGTCCACTTCGCCTACCATCATTGTTAACACCTTTAGTATTGCTAGAGGCACCGACGAGTATGGGGGATGCTGCAATTTTGTAAGTACAACTTTTTAAAACTCTGGCGTAATTGTAAGAAATTTGTTGTACGTTACATACTTCGGGAAACAAGACACAAAACGCCAAAGCTAAAATAATAAAATGCTATCTAAAATGATTTTTGGATAAATCTTAATCCAAATAAATTTTAATCCAAACCAAATGCTATCAAGAGGCAGGCGTAGGCCAAGATGAAGAGCCCAAAATTTGCGGCGACCTGTATGCAAGTGATAATAACTTAATAACATCATTTCGTAAACTATTAAACTAGTAACTATAGTATGTACCTTTCCCAGCATTTGCACGTACAACCTAAATATAATTACAACTTTAGAATGAGCATATATAAATAAATACATACATATGAATATAATTATTAAAAGTTTACCCACCCAAGCGCAGGGAACCTGCCCACCTGTAAAAGCATTAACCCCCACGCTAGGAATATTGCAACCTACGTATGTAGAATTACACGAGAATTACATTACATTAAATAAAAATATATACTTGTTATAAATATGTATTACCGCAGCGGCAGGATATTGCCAGTATGATAACTCATAGTCTGGAATATAAGCTGTAACTGCTACGCTGCATATTAATGCCCACTGTCCCCAATTCTCAGAGCTTCCCTTTGGATTAATAATATTGAATAAGTTAAATCGGTATGCTCTTATTGACGATTTTTTACAAGACTAGTCTCATTTCTAGTTACCAATAAAGGATATTTCATAAAAATAATTACCACATATGAGAAAGGTGATTGTAGAATTTGAAATATTTCTTTTAAGGCCATCAAGGAAACCAGGATTATCAGTGAAATCCAGATTACAGTTAAATTGAGGCCAATCTCGCATTTTGGGGCTTCCTCGATTGTTACATCATCTTCATCTGCCATAAATACATATCGTTTCATTCTCGTTGTAACTTGTAACTTGTCCTAACGACTAGCGACATCCTAGGTCTGATATAAATACTCGATTTTTCATTTACAACTTACGTATAGGTGTTTCCGTTGTCTCAGGATCCCCAATTACTCGAAATCCTCTTATTCGAGTGTTACTTGTAGGAGTTGGGACAGATACTGATCCTTCAGTTTTCTTCCTGCCACCCCCTCCTCTTGTGCGGTTTCGTCGATTGCTACTTGGTTTCACACTGAACCAATCGAATGATCCTGCCGTTGCAGTGCGTCTATGTCGACTAGATCTTCTAACACGTGGACCATTTTCTCCAAGTATCGTTGTTGATGCTGCTTGTTGAAGGCTTGCAGCAATGGGAATTTCTATCGCCAACGGTGATCCTGACGACGTACCTCCGAGTTCATCTCCTGAATTTAAGACAGTTCTCGCTTCAGCCTGAGCATCGAGGTCAAACTGGTGTCTTCTATGGGGACACTTGATAAGATAGACTTCTATAACGAATATGGTAAAAAGTGCAACTAATGCTATCTGAAATTAGAATAGTTACATATTCAACCAAGGATGGGTTTAGAAATTAAAAACAGGTTTTAATGGAGGGAAACTGACTTGAAAAAGAAGGGAAGCCCAAAAGAATTTACGGACACGTTGCCATTTCAACGTTAGGAAAGCTTCACTCAAAGGATGAGCTAAAATTTTTTTGTTCCCAGCAGCTAACAAGCAGGTAAGAAATTCCGTTTCCTTCCGTGGCTTTAAGTAATAAGATTGTTCTTTTGCACTTCCGCTTGCATGTTTTTTGTCGACGTTTGGAACAATCCCTCTAAAAAAACGTGGATGGCGACATTAACATTAGAAACTTTCGGATACCTATTACCTATTATTACATGGTAGATACACTTATAATTTTAAAAAATAACCTAAAATCTAATCGAACTTCGCAATCCGGGTCACCAGGGTCGTGATCATGAATCGTAACAGCTCCATCCAAACGGTCGACAAGGTATCTCATGACATCAGGAATTTTTCTCACTTGATGTAAAAGAAAATAAATTGTTGTATGTAAGCAGTAAAAGTTTAAGTGAATAAACTTGCACATGTACATAGTCAGACTCACCAAGTAGAGTTAATGCCGTGGTCCCAGCCTTTGTCCTACAGAGCATAAAGCAATATCAAGCTCCAATTAATGGACTCGTTCAACCAATTCTACAATGAAATTCTATATTATTTTTTAACTGACTTTGAAGTCACATCTGCCCCATGAGACAACAAAATTGACGCACATTGCGAAGATTCATTAACAGCTGCCAGGTGGACTAAAATTAGCAAAAAATAACTATCTGTAATGTATTAATGTGCAAATTATAAATATTTCAAACTCTTATAAATTATACGTGGCGTGTATCCATAATTATCTTGAGCGTCAATTTCAGCCCCCTTTTCTATCAATAATCGGACACACTCTGCTGCTCGGGAACCTATTTATTTTTAAAACATTTAGTTATGTTTATACTTATCGTCAGTGTCTTAAATCGTAAAATTTAAACGCATATTTTTTTTCTCAAATATTCGAGTTACCTTTTGCGACAGAGCAGTGCAAAGGTCTTCTCCCATTTGAATCCGTCGCATTAGGGTTTGCACCACCTCTCAGTAACGCCAGGACGGAGTCAACATCACATGTCGCTAAAATGCAATCAAAGCAGAATCAACGTTGTCAATCCCAGTGTCTGCCCGTACTCATCCTCTGTTCTTATCTTAATTGATGCAGCAATATGCTCTCATTATGTATTTGCGTACATGCAATATGCAGGGCTGAATGACCTCTCAAATCTATGGCTTCATGAGACGCTCCAGCGTTGAGCAACACGGTGATACATGCAGAATTTCCTTCCTCTGCAGCGAGATGTAGGGCTGTTTTTCGTTCAGGACCCTAAAGAACAAACGAAAATATTATTTGATATCTGCATTACCAACAAATTGTAAATATGTATGAAACGATTTATTTACCTTGCAGAGTGTAGTATCAGCTTTATAATCAAGAAGCAGTTGTAAACACTCAACGTTGCCCAACGCAGCTGCGACATGTAAAGCAGTTTCTGAAAAAATAGCACTAAATAACCCGTCCCAATATTATTATTCGCTTTTAAACGATTATCTGTAATTATCTATTATTCATTCATAATGAACCTTACGGTGGATTTTGCAAGGCCCCCTTCTCCAAAAGCTTTTTCGCACAGTCTACACTTCCTGCCTATTCAAAAAACATTGTATAAAATAAATACTTCAAAAACAAACAGAATATGCCTTTTATTTGTTTCAGAAGTCATGTTTGGAAGCATTTTGTCAGTTTTATTGGTGTCATCCTAGAAGCGCGACACATGCCAAAATCGCAGAAATGTTTCTTCTTAAACATTTGAGGAATTGTGGTGATCAATGACGTGCTACAAATTGTAGACTTTATATACATAAGTTTAGGTATTTATTATTACCTGTATAGACCAATGAAGTGCAGTTTTCCCATAGTCATAGCCAGCATTCACATCGGCCCCATGATCAAGCAACCTGATAAGAAATTTATTGTGATACTTAGATATGAGACCATCTCTAATGTTTTCAAGCACGTATTGCCAAGTGGGATCATGGGATGATGTACTTAAATTCCTTACATTTCAAGAACAGAGAGAGAACCGCAAGAAGCTGCACAGGACAATGGGGTTGCCTTTTGATGGTCAAACTCGTTCACTTGAGCTCCTTCAGTCATATTTGAAATATTTAGATAATTTAAAACTAACCATCATTATTAAGTTGACATAAGTACATAATGTCAACATGTTCTCTTGGTCTCGTACAAAAAACTACATGTATTATTACAAACCTATTTAAATACCTTTATCGAGGAGAAATTGCACAGCTTCCTTATTGCCGCAAGCCGCTGCAAGATGCAGGCTAAAATGGAAACGATTATTGTACTGTACATAGCTTAATTGAATGTATTTACATGTATAATAATTTGGTATTATTTACGGCGTCCTCCCCTCCAGGTCCAAAAGTTGTCCGTTTTGAAACATTTTCATCGTTTTGGGATCATCGAACAATTTCTCGAGGGTTTCTGTCTCACCGCCCCACGCAGCCTCGAGAACATTTCCAATACTTGGGCTCATTTCTCGGAAACTTTGTGCAATGTTGTCCTCATTCCACGCGTCATAGGATGAAAAGAGGACAGAGTGCTTCCGTCCCCCAGGCTGTGGAACTCCCAGACCATTCGGCAGGAGAAGGACGGGATTGAGCGCATTTTCACACCCTTCCTGATAATTGGAACAGTCACACCCACATTTACTACAGCTACGAACACTTCTCTGCTTTCTAATGCTACGGTGCAGCACGGACATTGTATAATTTTAGTTCGAAACTTTGTTTTATTTCTCCTCTACCCTCTTAAATATTAACCAAGTAATTGTGACATTTCCTGTTTTATGTTCGAAAACAGTAATACTGAAATGAATACGTAGTGCTAGTATTACATATTATATGTTGCACACATTAACGCTGGAAATGCTATATATATAATCTACCGTCAAACACTGACGCAGTTCAATAACAGTCACCTTGTGGATCGTGTAAAGATTAAATCTGCTAGATTTTTGTACATACATATGTGCTTCTAAATATCTATTCTGGGGTGTTTTGTTTACGAAATGTTGTGATTTATGAATGAATGATAAATATTGTGTGTTTGTTAATAATATTTATTATGTCCCAACCTGGCTAGCGTCACTTTCACTGGAAATCGAGAGAGAAGGACTCTCCTTCCTTCTCAAATTCAGAGAGTACCGAATCCCGTTTTGTCTGGATAGAGAGTGACCAGGTTCAATTTCTAGTTCGAAAGTATGGTGGTGCTGATCCTGGCGTTTCGACTCGAACGGTGGCAGCGTTGTTTCGTCGTCTTCGGCACTCAAGGAAGCCCATCTACATAAATACTTCATTTAGTGTGGAAATGTAAAGAAGCTTTGAATATAAATATATCTATTTGCGCATAGAAGAATAAACATGGTGGCAAATGTCGTTTTGGCAAAATAGTTCTAGCAAAAATTAATATTTTAAAAGTCGTATAATCTCAGGTTACAAAGTTTGCAAGTTACCTAAGCACACACAAGTCAAGTACATGGATTGATTTGTTTGCCAAAATTTAATTCTCTGAATCCTATCCGCCGTTTATTTCTGACTTTAAACTTCATAGCTTTTTAAACTACTTATCTGACTGAGGGAGGAAGGACATAAATATAAATGATATCAAACCCATTTGCTTTTCATATTATGAGATTTCAAGCTTTTTGGCAGGGTCCACGTTTCCAAAACTAGCAGTTGGCATTAGAATTTGATTTCAGAAAAGATTACGGAGAGGAAGGAAGGAAATCGGATATGAACCATAAAAGTTTTTTACAAAGTGGATGCATAACCATAAATCTTTGTTTGAAATTGTTTGATTCGTCTCGTTCGCAAATCAGAAGTTCGCTACGACTAGCTATGTATATGCATATACAATCTTTGATATCTTATAGTGCCAAATAAATGCAAGAATTAAAGACACACTGGGTATACGAACATATGTATATATATGTCCCTACACTTCTGGTTGCACTAAAAAAACTCTACCATGCGAAACTGTGCCCGCATGATCACCAGTGATCTTGTCTAGAAACAAAATGCAATTCGTTCCATAAATCAATCAAATCGCTCCCTTGTGCAACTGCAATATGTATATGTACTTCAGAAAATAGGAACAAAATACGTATGTATTTACATATGCACTTAATGCTGAAAATCTTAATGATTATTAACATGTTTTCTTCACCTGGAGTGAGGAAATGTAGACTGAGGAGTGTCAATGGTCTCAAAAGTCGAAGATGATCTTTGCGCCCCAGAGTCAGAATGACCTCGTCGCAAATTTTCCAAGTCAATGTCAACATCTTGATAACCAGAATCGCTAATTTTACTCCGTCTCCCACTGAAACTTTTATTGAACCTGACGCCACGTTCGGTTGTTATTGTTGTTTCCCCCGCTTCGCCATGTTTCGAAACACGTTTTCCATTTTCACTTTTATTTTTCTTGCGGCCACTTTGAGTCTGATTTTGATGGGCTAGGTTCATATTGTGCAGCCAACGGGCCCGTCTGTCCCGCAAACCAGGACTTGACGTACGGTTGAAATTCTCTTGGGGATTTAATCGGTTGGCGTTCAGAGGGTCTGAGACCGATATTCTCAGAGGATCCTTGTTATTGCAATTAGCTTGAGAAACGATTTGGTCACCACCAAGTTCTTCGTCAACTATACCAACTATTTCCAAGTGTTTATTGTCAGTCGCACTCATGTTTGATTTATCTAAAGTGATGTGTGTAGTTAATAAGCTTCACAAGGAAGCGTGATTCAGTGTAGATCAGTAAAGATGAGTCATGTATTCTTTCACAAGAAGAAGCAGGATCTAGAGAGGTACTCGGTCAAATTATATATATATGCCATTTATTACATAAATTATTCATTCAGGATTGTTCGTTCCTAAATACGTCATACTTTCAAGAGGCCAAACAAATTAGTTTGACCACATCACAAAGTGTCCCAAATAGATAGTCTCAATCTGCCTCCCTTCTCGGGTTCAAAATTTTTATACGTGTTTTTAGTTTCTTTGATCACTGCTTGATTGATTTACACCTTAACACACGGGTGATCTTTTGAATATTTATGATGTTCTTTATTTGATCACTTTTTAACATTTATTTATCCCACAAACCAAGTAATATTTAATAATACTGCAGATAATGATCTCGCACAGTCGAAAATATATTTTGAGTCGACTTATGTGGAAAAGATGCTGGACATCTTTCACGGTTATAATGAAAATACTTATTAACAGCAGGAGACACTATACATATGTAAAGATGCATTATCAGATATATTAAGACATTGTTGTTCAAGTTTAATAACAGAACCACTCTTTACGAGATTTTGCCCGAGGCAAGATTCGTACAGATTTTTGCATAATATTACACGCTAAATGCTAACTAGCAATCTTCAATCATATTAGAGGCAAATTATGCTAAATAAAATAATATGCTAGATATATGAATGGGAAATCTTTTCTGGTTACAAATCTAAACCGGGTTAAATCCACAATTTTATTAGAAGTCATTCGGGAAAAACGCAAGAAACTGAAAGGGAAAAATAAAAAAATCTTTTTAGTGACCTTGTTTTAATATGGCGTGAATACAAAGAAATTCTTGTAGTCCTACTCTACAAAATCTGCAATTGTTACAGACTTGCTACAACGCGTCCCAAAATCGTTGCTGACACGGAGGTCGCTTTCTAAGTAAGTGACGATGGTGCAAATTATGCAGTCGACGCAATGGAGCAGAACCGAATTGCTTAAAGTTACATAAATGCCAAAGCGTCTATTTTTTCCGTATGGTTAGGTTTTTTCAATTTGTGTTTTTCTGTTAGTACTTTAAAAAGATCCTTCCAAACCAACTTCCAGTTTTAGGGGATTGAGTTGCAAACCAAACCACAAAAACTAATGTGTATTTAAGTCGAGTGCATGCATCATGGTTGAATAAGATCGTCACACTAAAAGGAAAGGTAATCATAACATCACCAGCAACATATCCATATTGGAGTTACGTTAATGGCGCTGGCGATGGTTCGAGTGCACGGCAACAAGATTGTTTTCCTCAGATTCTGATGAAAATCGGTTGGCGAATATTAAACACTCAGAATTCTTTATGCATTTATACTAGAAGTGAACTGTAAACATGGACGAGGGCCAAGAAAAATTTGTGTTTTTTAACATGAAATTCAGAGATCGGGAATGTACTTGTCGCAAGCACAACACACCACATGGGATTAATCAACTTTATCTACGTAATCAAATGTCAACCTAAAACTTTACGTCAATGATCACTGTCAAAAAACGAAAAACCATTTTGTGATTTTTTAGATCTTCCGGGTACAATATAGAATAATGACTCGTCAGATTTGCATAAATACTGGAGATGTAAGAAAAAATTGTGTAGTAAATCCGAGATTCGGCATGCCGGAAGTCACAAGATCACAAAGTGCAATGTGTACTTCTTTCTTATTAATGCAAACTTGGATGGTTTAAAGTTAAAATAAAGTCCTGATTTATTTATTCGTATCTGATGTGCATGTATACATACTCAATAAGAATGTGATTATATTAAACTACAAAATGTGTGCATCGTGCACTAAATATCCATGCTATTTTAGTTCATAAATTCTATTTGATGTCTTCTTCTCCAAGTAGGTGGTAGAACCCTGCCTGACTCAACAACTGATCAGCTTATTCCGATTGCTTAAAATTTTAAAACTATTCATATATATGCTAACATTGCGAGAGATATTATGTACGTATTATCTTTGATAGCCAGCTATAGGATGTCGGCTCAACAATGGTGAGTCACCATAATCAGTTCTTGTCGTCGTCAATTTCAGACTAGATTATTCCATGTTTTTTATCAAGTAACAATAACATTATCAATGTATACATCAGATTTGGCTGTTTTCGCCTACTCTTTTTTGTAACTATTTAAGTAATTATGATATTAGGTACATATTCGGATCTATTACAGGAACCCAAATAAAATTTTACTCCTTGACAGCAGTAACCTCTGGATCCTGCTTTTTCTTGTAATCTTGCAGAGCCGCCTTAATCGCGTCTTCAGCCAACATGGAACAATGCAGTTTCACGGGAGGAAGAGAAAGTTCCTTGGCGATATCCGTGTTTTTGATTTTTCCAGCAGCATCCACTGTTTTTCCTTTGATCCATTCCGTAGCAAGAGATGATGAAGCAATAGCAGACCCGCAACCAAAAGTCTTGAATTTAGCATTAACAATTTTGCCATCGTCGTCAACCTCGATCTGCAACTTCATCACGTCTCCACATGCTGGTGCTCCAACGAGGCCTAGTAAATACAAAGGGTATTATTTAAAGACACAGTAACTTAAAATTAAAGAAACTTTTCAAATATTCAATGTTATTGTGACCTACCTGTACCAACGTTTCGTTTTTTCTTATCGAGAGATCCAACATTTCTGGGGTTCTCATAGTGGTCGATAACCTTTGCATGATAACCGCATGCGGAGACTGGCGCCTGTGTAGTTTTCAGAAGATTGGAAAGCGAGTGTGCTTTGTTCAGCACGAGTCGCGACATTTTGTTGATTGTTGGTGGAAAAAGATAGACACTGGAGATTTAAATTCGTTGTCCTTGTCTCCAATTTGCAAAAAATTAATGGAATCTGCAAATTTATGAATTTTATTAATACAGTACCTTTCAAGGTCAACTTTTTATCTTGAAAACAAATCAACACAAATCGGAATTTTCCATTTTCGCTCAAATATTACAATATAATCAAGAAAATATACTTAATTAAGAACCACATTACCAATTTACCTTTAACCTCAATTTTTTGAGTCACTGAAACCAAAATTTGAATTGGTCAAAGCAATTTTATGATCCAAACGTAGTAGAATTTCCGTCGCAATGAGATACGATTGAAGAAGTCAAGCTATCCGCGAGTAATGCTCGATGGTTCGCATTGTATCATCCGAGTGAGATGCTACAATTTTCATAGATAGTGTATTAATAATTTTGCACTCTTTTGTTAATTTTTAAAATCTATTGTTTTATTGCGTCCTTTTGTGTGTGCGATACAAAAGTCATTATTAAAATGTTATGCATTTTTTGGTCAACATATAATGTTGTCCAATGAAGCTGAAAATGTGTTATTCATTTTCATTTCTTACATATATAAGAAATTAAAATAAATGTGCATAAATTCTCAAATTCATAAGCTAGATCTGATTAATTTTTATATGATCGTGATCCACGTAATACTTTTATTAAGTATTTATAACTAGGAAATATTATATTAGCCAGTTTCACTTGGTTCATTATCTCCATTTTCCTCGATTTGAGAAAATTGTATGACTCCTCCGTCTAATTTTCTAAGTTGAGGAATTCTTTTTGCGACCTCTTTCTGCCATTCTGCGAGGTTTCCAGTATTGGAATATTTCTCTTCAATAGGATTGCCTAGTTTTTAGGAAGTTTACTATTTATGATACCTAAATGAAGACAGACAGCACTCTTATCAAGGATTATATCTTACCAACAAGAACAATTTCTTGTAATTCAGGGCATTCGCTAAGTCGTGCTATTTCTGGCCACTCACGCACTGAATTGTTAGCGAGGTAGAGGACACGCAACTTTTTGCAGTTGGTCAAACCCTTGGAAGGTTTCTCAATTTGATTGTAGGAAGCCCAAATCTCTTCCAACGTATCAGCACATGCTTCCTAGAAAATTCATAAATTGTAAAATCTTTGATAATAATTGTAGGAATATGTGCAACACGATGGTGACGAACCACGCCTGCCAAGCTTTTCAGATAGTTTCGCCCAATAGATAAAATTCGGAGGCATTTCAGTGGGTTCAAATTCCCAATCCTTTCTATCATGTTTGTACTCAGGGAAAGTTTTCTGCAATGGGTGCAACACAAATTTTATTCCGTTCATTCCGAAAAATATTTCTGCAATACTTTACTGGCAATTTGGAATGTGAGAGGTTGAGTTGTCCATTTTTTCGATGGGAGGTTGCCAGCCCATTAGGTCGAGTTGCGTGGCTTCGGCTGCTTTCTCCCCTGTTTTCTCCTCCCACATTTTGAGTGCCTCCTTTAACGCAATCTTCTTGACTTGGGTCTAAAATCGTTCAGATGAGCCGAAATTGGGTGTCAATATTAATCTCCAATTCAAAGCTCGTAAAAAACTTACCATATTTCTTATTTATTATTTGAGTAGTACTATTATGAATTGTGGCGCAAAGCAAGCTGAAATGGAAAGCTCTTATGACATGACGACTTATTGATCAAACAAGTCAACCCAAGTAATGAATGTTGTCACTAAAACCGTGATGAATCCATATAATTGATTTCAGTTTTGGTTCACTTTTTATGTCAGTTTTGTCAGTATATAAGAATAACAAATGTAAAATACACAAATATGTGCCACAATCTTGTAAATATATATCACACTCAGTCAGATAAGATGGATATCTTGACGCCAATAGTATTCCAATAGCCTGAAACAATTGGTTTATTTATTTTTATGAACAAATATAATTCTCTACCAGAACAGGAAGCCAGAAAAATGTATCAAAAGTTTTGATTCAAAACTAACTCATTAATGAAATAAAATTGTGTTTACGATTGGTTTTATTATTGTTCCTTTTCAACATATGCAGCAAACGCAGCAGGATCTATGTTCGTTATCCTCCTCCTCCACGGTGAATGCTAAAACTTCATCGGAAATATGTATGTCGCCAAACATTCTCCTGTGAATGGTAAATTATGCATGCTGCTTTTTTGCAAAATAAAGGTCAATAAGGACTAGTAAAAGTTTACCTGAATTCGGATTCGGGATTTATAATTGGTTTTGAGACAAACGTCCTTCTGCTCATGCTAGGGAACAATTTCTGTTTATGATGGGTCTCGTCTGACAATCGTCGAACCTTGGAGGCGTCAGTACTGCCCAACTTTTTTAAATAGTCCTCTTTCATCTGAGGCCACCGGAGGATGTCTAATTTATTTTCAACTTCTGGATGAGCATCAAATATAACTAGACCAAATTTACTACATTATATCTTATATCATGATATGCTTCCTTAGGGAATTGGATTGGAGTTTATTTAATGATGATATAGTTCATATGAAAACTAACCTGTAGAAAATTCCCAGTAATCTTTGCATCTTGTTAGAGTTTTGACGCATGGTTGTAATTCTGTAAACTTTCCAGCCAGCTCACTTTTTCAATTGAAAATTAATATAAATTAGCCAAATATTTCTCATCATTGCACATTTACTAGTAAGCAATGAGTATAATGAAAATGTACGTGTAAACTGGAACAACAATTGCACAAAGGAATTTAAACTCTACTTCAGGAATGTAAGCTACAGTACGGTCCATCATGGGCATTGGTGTCATTCCCACTTCTTTTTCAGTGTCACCTTGATCGAAAAATTCGCTGAGAATGTGTCGCTAAAGTCAGAAAAGTAGTAAATAAAATTTAAAATGTCATTTCCATAATATTACATGTTTTCTGGCATACGGCAGATATAATATTGTCATCCCAGTTTTTCACCGAGTCGCATGTATCGCTTGCTGTGAAAAAATCAAGAAAATTTTACTGAACTTTTCTATTACGCGTCCAATATCCACTCACAGTTTGCATGTTTACCCACGCTACAACTAACTGACGAGATGATATTTAAAAGCATCGTTTCGTAAAATGTGAGATGGCATTTCGTAATGAAATGTATTGCAGAACAGTGGTTCCCCATTTACCAAATTAAATTTCGATTAATTTTGTAATACTTGCTACTAATTTAATTGGTTTAATTGTAAAGGCAGCTCGTATTTTGAATTTTGCTGGGTCGAGTGAGCTTTCACTGCTACTGTACGTGAAAATATCTGGTAATTATATTTTTTTGCTACTGAGTTTACACCTTTCGTGGAATTTGCCTAAATTGTTGTCTCACATTAACATGTCCCTCATTTAATCTTACCTGTCATCATTAAAGAGAGCAGTGCATACGTATACTCCTTTTCACCCTTCTTGAATTCACGTAACAGCCGAAAATTATTTTCCCTAGCTTGAAGGTATTTGGCAATATCTGTCGCTGAAAAATTGAGATAATTAAAGCTCTATTAAGTAAAACAATTTTGAACTATTTAGATAATAATATAATTCGTACCTAAAATATTCCATGTCAATAATTCGATAAACTCTTTGTAATCATCAGGGCTTAATTTTTCTATTAGGTTACAGTCTTCTCTGCGCAATATTGACAACGTAATGGCCAAATGATGTCTCTATTTTTTAAACGTACCGTCTCGGAGTTACATATTTCACAATATGAAAACCATTATTAGCTTCATTACCTCTAAAATAGATTCTTGTGTATTGTATAACTTGGAAAGATCTGAATTTGTACAAGACTGAAATCTATTGTTTGTTCCACGATGGTCAATATCATGCGCGATTGCCGAGACCAAGATTGCAAATCCTTGTAACGGCCTATCAATAGCAAAATTAAGCAGAATGAATGTTAAAACAATATGTATTTTATCTTACGTAAGATAACCCTGTTCAATTAACTTGAGCTTCTTAATCATAAGATAACCAAAATGGGCTACACTACAAGCATGTTGCCAATTGTGGTATGGAAGAGGTCTGTAGCCCTGTTGTGCAGAGAGAATAAATCTGCAAGAACGCAATCAATGTACACATGTGCATAACCTCCCTGGGTGTTAATAAAAAATATAAAGCTACATTTGATCTACTTGTACGTGGACGGATTACCTAACTAAAGTTGCTTTTGGAATTTTGAAGATTGACAAAAATTCCAAATTTGTAAAAGCGTGTAGTACTCCGCCACTCATGTCCCATTCCGAATAGTTCTTGATACTAAAGTGAAACTCCATGAAAGGTCCAGAAAATAAGTTAGCTTGCAAGTTTCGTATCTGATGACTTAAGAACTGTTCAACTCTGGTGTGCTTTACCTGTGTAAATTATTTGAAGTAAAATACATGCATGTGGGGGATTTGGAAAATTCAAAATAATTAGGCTCATACGAACCGGCTCAATATTCAGCAGTGTCAGAGAATCATCCATGGTTTTATTGCTGTGTTTGTTCGTAATGTTGTCGTAATTTTTTTGTTAGGTCATATTTACAAAATGCAGTGAGTCTAATAAGTAGTTAATAATTATTGAAAAGGTTCAACCATTTTTAAAATCAATAGTTTATTTGTAACTAGACTATAACCGACCACGATTGCTTGACTTTTGGTATCTTAGGAACACTGACATTGTAATACTGGGGATTTTGTCTAGTCAATAAAAAAACAATCGTTGCAACCATTTAAAAAAATCTGAGATTCCAAAACTGCTAAAAAACTAATTAAGAAAATTTGTCACCTCGCAGCACCTGGTATACTTCTCTCCATGCAAAACTACGATAACCGTACATCGCCTTAATTATAATCTTGTTCGAGCATGATTCTGTAATAATTGTTTGCTGGATTTATATTATTTAAAAGTTTGTATGTAATGATGCATACACGGAAAATATGGAAAAGAATTATTATGTTTAAGAATGCTGGGATTTATTTGAGCAAATTTCCGAGGTAAATTTTATCCGTTTGGTGTGATGATTTGAGCTTCAAGAAAATTTTACACACACCATTTATTAGTGTGACCCGATCTTTGCAGTACAGACAATAAATAATTACGTCCGTTATGCATTTATCCTTTCTGTCGTCAGTGAAATTCAACAACCTTTACAACCATTTTACATTTGAAAAACTAATAAAAACGCATCACTTTTACATGATCGTCTAAAGTGTTTTGGGGAAAAGTGAACGTGAATACCTTGCCATCACAAAGTACTTACATGATGAAGCTTACTCTCCTTTGAAGGAATTTCACACTTGCACTGATTTTCCCCATTTCCATTCCTTGTCATTTACGCATTATGTTTGAAGAGCAATATGTCATAAAATATGCAGTCAGGCTGGCAGACGGCTTTTGTTCGGTGTTGCTATCCAATGAGAATCCACCCACAATGATATTCACTCAAATTACGACGAGATCTCAAAAATCATGATATGAGAAAAGTTAACATGTTACATTCGGCATTGAATCATGAATTCATGATGTTGTAATTGCCCATCTTGTCTGAAAGAGCATGGGTACAAGGACACGCACCTTCGGATTTTACTTGATTCTTATTATCTTAATTCCTTTCTCAATAACTGCAAGTCTCTGCGTAACATATTTAAGTAGATCCCTTCTCGTGGTCGATTCTAAGGCTGATGCCATACTTACTTATTTTTCGCTTTGTCACGAATCGGAAGAATTTAGGCCTTCGATGCACGATGTTTTCTTCGAAACAGAAAATGAACAAGGTATGCATATTTTCATGTCTCGCAATGAGAAGAAATGTCAAGGACCAAGAAGCGTGGCCGCATAGTTTCATTATTATTCACTTTTGTGAAATTAAATTTTGATTTAAATAGATACTTATGTATGCATCAGAAATATTTATTGCATTTATAACCAAAATTTTAGAATGAGCTCATGACAAAAATAGAGCAGTCGTCCACAAAATGTAAAAAAGAAAAATTCGCAATATTGATACAGCCTTGTTTGTGTGATTAAGTACAATTCTCTCGACGAGTCAAACTCTTTGACTAGAAAAATTCCTAGAGTTGTTGTTGTATCCCATTTCTCCTATTCAAAAAAATCACTGGAGCATTAAATTGGAATATTTAAACAGGTAAGAAATACCAACTCAAATTGACTAAACGAAACGGAAATCAAATCAAGCACAACGAATAAGGTTTCTATTTTTCGAGATCATATCTGTCAATTGGGCCGAATACCTTCTTGATCAAGTATTCGAATTTAAATGTTTTGACTATGAAATACTGTTATCAGGGTTGCATTGATGAACTTAAAATACCAAAGTAATCACTTCACCCTTCTCCTTTCTGGATGGCATCCACAGAAGCTAGAGCTAAATTATAGGTCGTAAAATTGGATTCGAATTGGGATAGGACAGCAGATGGTCCTGCACATGCATGGTCACTTATTCAACCACACACATTACAAGGCCTTTGTACTCGTCTTCATCATCTTCAGCATAAAAAAGTAAATTCCGTCTCGTTCTTCTCATCATCCAGATGAAATTAGCTCATTTGCTCATCTATGTATGTTCCTATTACACCTGCACTGCGCCTCTTTCACGTTGCATCTTCCTATCGTGCTGAACGTATCAGTCATTCTCCGACTGAATGTGTGGATGAAGGATTCTGAACAAAAGAACTTGAATTTTCAAAACCCACACGATTTACAGGTAACTGCTGGGCGCAGGGTCTTCTTGTGAATGTAGAATGCTTATAGCTTTCACAATTGATAATGATGGCAGATGATGACGACGAGGAATATTCTAAAAATTATTTCAATGCCGAGTAGTCTCATACATATAATGAAGAGTTTATAGGTACGAGTGAAGTTAAATGTTATACGCATGTCGTGAGGTTCATTTAAAACCTCAGCCCAATTTTGAGATGAGAGATGCATATAACCGATAGGAAAGGACGACGGGATTTGAGAATGGGGCTGCAAGTCGGTCTGTTTGTGTCTAGGCTTCTTGGAATTCTTGTTTGAAAGACGCAGCGTTAAATAATGTTGGGTATGCGTGGATATGTACAAGTTGTACATAAGTGCTAACTAAGGTCGCCTGAAGGGATCTCTCCTCCCACCAAGAATTGTTTAGTTAAAGATCATAACTGAGAGTGAAATAAGGTTCATCCAAAGAAATGTGTCTCCAATTCGGCAGGCAGGTACGTACGTGGGATTGCGATATACGAACCGTTTTTATTGCTGTGCAGTTTTCTTAATAGCCAATCAATGAAACAATGAATAATAAAATTTTTATCTGTTCAGTTCTTACGCCGCATTGTTTATGAAGGATCTTTTTTTAAACCAACCGACAAATAAAACATAATAAATAGGATGCATAATATTTACCAGGAAGCCAGTCAGCTTTTTCTAAAAACACTAATCTTTCAGTGGCTCAAATGCAGGGAACAGTAGATACCAAGTTTTTACTAGCCGTGGATTTCTCTAAATGTCGATCATGGTCATTCATGGTATCAGACTTTGCAGCGATATTTATTATACGTGGGTGTCTTGGTCTTATTACGGTCATATCAGGAGATTGTCTGCGTCCCTTATCTAAATTCTATTTCAGTCCCGTCAAGTTATTTACACCACCGTTCCATTTTCCGTCTCACATTATTAATCTTTAACTTTATGATTGCCTACAACTCTGGTCTAGACCCGGCACCACACTATACGACACGTCTTAATGGACAAAATCTGGACCCTATATTATCTTTATGATTTAGTATATCACACTGTAAAAATATGTCTGTATGTGTACTCTGGACAGGATATTTTTCAACAATGGCTGAATATTTTTTACCAGTTGACTCATCATCACCATCACCAGATTAGTATATGTAGTAATGTAGTTAAGAGAATTACACCTTTTTATATTTATATAGCTATTATATCCGTCCTAATGCATGTCCTGGAGAAGTATACCACCTGACATTCATTTCAGGTGGTTGTGCACTTAGGAGTAGAAGGTCACTACTTGTCGGGCCCCGATTTCGATCTCCTTTAGATATGTTGTAGTACTACATGAGTGTAGAAAAAGTGAAGGAGGGTTAGACTCCATGAGCCCATTTACGCCCGCCACACCCCCTCAAAGGCGCCCAAACCCCCAGAGTTGCCGCACTAAAATCCTCACCAAAAATCGAGTTTTGGTCAGATTTTCAAGAAATTTACATTTTTGTGATCCCAGATAGTTGCTCTATCATATCCAATAGCAGACTCAACTTTTTTGAAATTTTCAATATTTTCGAAGATTTTCTGACCAAGGGTATGTATTGAAAAAATTCGAAATTTCAAAAAAGTTGAGTTTGCTATTGGATATGATAGAGCAACTATCTGGGATCACAAAAATGTAAATTTCTTGAAAATCTGACCAAAACTCGATTTTTGGTGAGGATTTTAGTGCGGCAACTCTGGGGGTTTGGGCTCCTTTGAGGGGGTGTGGCGGGCGTAAATGGGCTCATGGAGTCTAACCCTCCTTCACTTTTTCTAGACTCATGTAGTACTACAACATATCCAAAGGAGATCGAAATCGGGGCCCGACAAGTAGTGACCTTCTACTCCTTAAGTAAGGTGTATGTACATAGAGGAAAAGGAGGATAGGGGTGGATATACATATAACTACATAGGCTATTTGTTAGCTACGCCAAGGGTGTTAAATCCATTGTAAAAATGTTGCATATGGTTTACAGCATTGGACATTTCTTTTAAACATATACATATATGTACCCGCATTACACAAAATGAATGCACTTGTTGCCTTGCATTGTACACCTTTACAGATATGCATTCTCTGCACGATTACTCACCGCTCAGGTACAACCACCGTTTAATAATTGTCAGTATTATTGTTAGCTGTGGGATGAACCTTTTTCAGTTTTCATATACACACAGCTACAAGGAGAGAGATAAGGTGAGAAGATCCATATAAAGATGTAGATATATAAAGATAGCAACTTTTAGATGGATTATTATTACTATATTTGCTCTAATCCACCTAGCATCAAGGGGTCAAAAATAGGTTTTACTACAGAATGAATGACTTTAGCTTTAAAAATTAAAGATTTTGTATCTTATCCCCAAGGTTTATCATAATTTTGTATTTTGCACAATTTGCATACAGTGTTTGCGCGATGCAATTGGTATGTAACTCAGGTCTGATAACGCCGGCTATCTGAATCACCTACCAACTTGTTCATCCCCAATATCAAGAATGCCTTTCTTTCATAAGATATATACACAAGATTCATTAAATCACAGCACTACTCGCTATAATAACCAACCGAAAAGAACTCCGTCTCGATTGAATGTGAAAAAGTATTTACCAACTAGTGCATTGTATCTCATATTCTCTCAGGTCCTTCTAAAATGGATGGATGGATGATGATATAAGAGTGGTTTGGTTGGGCAGCAAACAGATAAATGGGATACAGCATGCCTTTAAAGCTTTCCATCCATACCTCCAACAACACTGCCGAATAGTTTTTACTTTGGTGAACAGGATTTCAGGATTCATTCCACGGTCACTTTTTCTATTCATTCTTCAGTCATCTCCAACTACACTTCATCGTTAGACCCACCAACAACCTGCTCGCAGTGATTTCAGAAAAGTGCACCAATAACCCCATAATCACTGCATATGCACAATTGCATCTGGAATCCTCCAATAAGATCCTTGATATTGTATAGTGATACATAAATACATACATAAGCTGACAACGTCAGGTTAGGAATTTATCCATACTTAATTATGCACAATTGCATAATCACTTAAACTGAGGAAAAGGATTATCAAGCAATATAATCAAGTCATTTGGTTTTTAATGTGTTATTGCATATTCCAAATACTGTGTAAAGTATAAGCTTGTGCCAGTGAGTGATGGAACTCGCTGGTGATGTGAGTCGAATGACGACCCGATATAAGAAGAATGTTTATTGGTTCGCTGTGTATAATTTTGCATTTTGCTCATCATTGGTGGACATTTGCCAATTTCTGTGCTAAATAAAACCTTTAAGCCTTAAAACTAAATGTGTCATACTTTTAACTTTAGTTCGACACTGGTGAACGATAACATCTGGTTTAAAGCACTGACAAAGTTCAATAATGCGTGTTTTGTAGTGCATGCTTCATGTTTGGTATTTAAATTATTGCAAATGTTTGCAATGTGCAGGGTGTATCCAGTCAGGAGCTGTAGTACTTAACAGCATGATATTTCCAATCTGTCTGAGGAGGATCCATTTTTTTCTTGGCTAAATTTTGATAAAATGAGTCACTTCCTCCTCCTCCTCCTCCTTTACTGACTGACAACAACAAAGTCTAGGAGTTGTACCGCACTTCCTGGATGTGAGATATAATACATGTGATGTGGAGCAATAACTGAAAAAAAACGTGGCATGTGTTCGTGCATATTGTAGCGAATTGTTTTCTACGCCGACAGACAACCGAACCAGAAAATTTGAAACCTCTCAATTTCGACGCAACTCATTAAAGTTCGTGTTGGGCAGCGAGCTCGTAAATTATCACCAGCGGAAATTATCAACGGGATTCTTTTTGGATGCCACAACTTATCACCAGCACTTGGCGTAAGTGGATTATTACTACTTTACCGTTTTATGAGTCCAAGATGCTCAAGACCAATCTTTAGATTCGTGTCAACTTCCCTCTAATAAAGTATTTCCCTTGCGTCTCGCACCGGAAAAGTGAGAATCTCTTCAACTGAGTGCACAATTTTACTCAAAAATTCATTAACTAAAGCAGGAGCGTGGCTAAATAGTTTTAGACTAATTGCTTATCTTTTCTCTCAAATGAAGAACTTAGCCAACCGTACATGAAAACCCCTAGGCTGTTGTTTTTGTACGCAAAAACACCTAATAAAAGAAGTAATATGACTGATTATTTTTCACACTCGGTGTACATTACGAGTGCGTGTGAATGTACAAGATATGTAAGCCAATTATTTAGTGAGAACGAGTATAATCAGTGCAACAAGGAGATCATCCTAATTCATTTATCGTCTACTCGGGATTTTCAAACTAAATTTTGAGTTATATAAGGTGTGCCATTGAGCAAGAGAAAGTTGAAAGTTGGTTAATCTATGTGCACTAATTAAATTAAACTGCTACTAATAATTCTGCAATAGTAGACTGGCGGTGGCGACGGATAAGGCCCAGGTGACGGACATTGATATGTAAGACAAATCAATGCAAATGCAAAAGATTAGTTAAGCCATACAATTAAAAGGTGCCAACGAGAGAGAGAGAGACCAAATTGAAATTAATTCTTCCTACGAGATTCGATTTTACAAAGGAGATGAAGAGATTTAGGTCGTCACGAGGTTCTTGTCAACTTCTCTAACACGCAGCTCTTCTAACTCTGATGAGATAAGATTCAGTTTTGCATAGGAAATTTTAATCCAAGAACAATACACAATGGTCCGCACCACGAAAAGAGTGTTATTTTATAGAAATAATCTTATTAGCTAATTTCTCAATTCCTTTCAAAGTGTGAAATAAATCAAGGTGTCATCTCATATATTTAGTACTTGAACAAATAGCTTGACAATACAGAAACCGCTATGATCAACTGTCACTGCTTTGTGTTGCAGATAAAATTGCTCAGCTTGGTGTATATGAATGAAGCAGAGGCACAACCTGACATTAAATGACGAAAATATGGAGAGCCCAAAAGTAAAGAAGAACGAAGGGGATTTGTCCAGTTGGTCCTCTTGGTCAGCGTTGAAGGAGAACCGTAGGAAGGGGATGGCATTTGGTCATCGGTTATCGGCCTCAGTCGACTCTATTCCATACATGGACTTTTTATCCTCAATGGGTTCGCTTAACAACTTTCCTAATGGTAAGAAACACGTGTATTTTACTAACGAGATTGTCATTATGAGTTTGAATAGTCAAAAAATATTTAGGATTTACAATCTCCAAATTGAAACTGAGTCTGACACACACGCACAAACATATGTAACATCATGCTAGGGTGCATGGACAAGTGGTTGCTTATGATCAAAGTATTTACAACACACGTGTAACAAGGTAACATCCTACATTGAATAAGTTAGTATCATTCAGCACATTCTCAAAAGTTATGAAAAGTGGAAATATACTTATTTGCAATCCTCATTTCTTTAAAAACTGAAAGTGACTGTATGGGGATAGTGATATTTTAGATATTGACAGCAAGAATGGGATGGTATTGTTTAACCTAAGGAAGCAGGGTTCGTTAATTTCATTCTGTGCAGAGTAAGTATCTTGAATTTGATTACATACATGTCGAAACTGATTGTCGATATTTTATGTGATTGGACGTGACATATACGGCACTAATTTATGACCTGATTACATGGATATGCGCCTAACTCGTCTCCATATTTGTTTATTTAATTCCCCTAATTTCCTCCGAGTCATTGCGGAATGAATGTATTTTAGATTCGAAAGCCATCCACCCATTGTTGGAATTACAGATCCTTTGGTCTTGGTGTAAGCTATCTAGCAATTCCAAGTGATCGCTGTAATTGTTATCGTCTTGCCTAACTTACTTATTATAGATCTCCAACAAATAACTAGCCAAGTCATTAACAATGCTATTGAATTAAAATAATACAACAGGCACTTCTTCTGGGAACACTGAGCAAACCAATTCAACGTGTTCACGTGTACATATGTACGTACATACGAGGAGTAATACTGCCGTAAATATGAATGAAAAGAGATTGAATTGTTTTTTGACAAGGCAAATCATTATTTTATCGACAGTTGATATCAATTAAACTATATGTGTCATTGGCTAGTGGTCTAAAATGTTGGTTGAATAAACGCAGACCAAACCAATAACAATACATGTTTTAAAGATCGTTGGCAATAAATATTGGTTTCGCTCATTCAAAGTCAAGTAAACATTAAATAAATATTGAAAAAGTTGATGGGGTTGCATAAAAGGATACAAAGAGGATCATCTACTTGTCATATGAAATAAATCATATAATATAAATCTGGGATTTGTTGAATAATACTCCAACTTTAAGTTTCGAAAATAATGTGACTGTTGTGTACATTGTGTGTTGGGTTGGTACACACATATCTCTGAATATGTATGTACCTATGCTCATAAAAACTTGAATTTCATATTATTGATTGTATTACAAGTATGGCTGCTTTTATCGCTGTTGCATTTCAAGTATTGTTTATATTTACCAAATAAAAAATTGTGATTACACTGTTTCAAATTTTCTCTGAGCGTAAATGAAATTGGTGGCCGTGTAATGTACTTGAATGTCTGTATGTAATACAGGAGTGAGCAATTACGACTTGTTTGAATTGCATACATTTTTAATAACGCAATAGTAATAACAATTACATGCAATTAAGCCCATTGTGAATTGTGTGGGATTCAACTGAAATTAAAATGGATTTGGAAATATATTTTGAGGTGAGGTTGCTTGATGAGCGAAAGGTTGGCTCAATTGCAAGCACGCAAAACAACATACACACATAAATGCTTTCATGGTCATATTTTTTTGCAAATTCATCTTCAATTCAGCAATAGTTAAAATTTTAATTTTTTAGCCTCACTTGATTTTAAAATATTTTAAAAATGTGCTGCTGATTAGCAAATTCGACCCCGTCAGAGAGTGTTTCTTTCTCAAAGTCTGACAACATAACCAAAGGTGAGTAATAACACGAAATTATTTCCAATTGATTTTGCAAACAGAATAAGAAAGATAGATATTCATCCTCAACTTCGTCTTCGCCTACGCACTCACGATGATTCAGTTTTTGGCTCACTCACTCCTCGCATGATTATTTATTACTAACAAAATTGTATCGTATTCCATTTGTTTTTAAACTTGCATCCACTCCTTTTTTTGGTATTGTCTCGATCAATTATTTACGTAGCTGACATCCATTACAACACAATAATAGATGAAGTGTCCGAAATTGTTGGCCTATTTGTTTATGGTTGCCATATTAAACACGCCCTCAGCCATATAAATGTCTGTGTGGTATAAAAGGGAAATTGGGGATAATAACCCATGCCATATGCACAAACACTTTTTGTATGGAACTCATTACTCTCAGGCTAATTTGTGGAAATTTTCAAGGAATATAAATAAACAGGGGGAAAAAATGTGGGGGAATTCTTATTCCCGATAATGCATTCAAAGTGAAACGGAAATGAGACGAGATGATGATGATGAACCATGCGAGGCTAGTCAATCTTTGCATATGTGGCATTGCCAGCCAGTGGCTATCTGTCTTGATAAGTGACTAATGACTTTGTCTTATGCAACCCGTGTGGTCATGTGCAAAAGAGCATTACGTCGTGAGAGTGAAACACAATTTTACATTACACGTGTGAATTGAACATTTGCACAAGTCAAATTAGAGTGGAATAAAAAATCCTTTTCTCTCATCGTCTAAGCGCCATGTAGACAATTCTTACTCGACCATTAGAGGAATACCATACTTATCAGAGCAGAGTAAATGCAGCGTAATTTACACATTAGTCTTCAAGACGATAGAGACGATAGAGATCCAATCCTAGCAAGAATTCGCCTTTGGTTATCTCATCTGCTCTAATTGTTGGGAAAGAGGATTTTCACTATTTCCTGACAAAATAAAAACTTGCGAAATTGTTCGTGTCTTGTCTACCCTGGTTTGACCATTTATCACGCGCAAATCTCCTACATTGCTGTTGTAATCCTAATGTCCTGATTCATTTGTGTGTGTGTGTGTCTTAAATAAAATCAAAAGCAACCAGGTCGGGTGAATAAGTGTACGATGTTTTAGATTGTTTTTAAAACACATCTCATCATTACCTGTTGTGTATAAGCTTATTGGTGAAGTTAATGTGCTAGCCAAGTAATTATTATTTACTTTTTAAAGTGTGGCCCATTAGTTTTGTATGCGATAAGATATGTATTTTGGCCAACTGTTGAAATTGCTGCTCATGAGTGCAATAATTTACTCAATAACTCATCTTCAAATCAGGGTTCTTCTTCTAATCACTAAATGTCGTGGGATAAATTGGGCATTGTTTGATCCGAATTGTTATATAATGTGAATGGACATCAGCAAAATTTAGAAAATGCACAAGTAACAAGAATAAGAAGAAAAAAAAACATTTTATATTTTGAAGGTTGTAACAAGTTTACATAGAAGCTGTAGTAAAACAAGAAGGTGAAAAATTGAACACATTTTTTAAATGAACTTTACAATTCTCATAAAAACGTGATAGGACCATCCTCCATCTTCCTACAGTCTTTGATGGCTTTAAATTACGTGGAAAATGTGAATAAAAGTGATTAAGATTAATAATGAAGTTGGAATTGCAACAAATATGAGGTGAAGTACGTACATGGAAGTCTTGCTGTTGTTTTTGTCTTAAGGAGCTGAAACTGCAAATTCTACAGAGCCAGCTCATATAGTTTGCAAAACACTCCCACCACAAAGTATGCATAGCCAACGTTCATAAGCTTGTTGTTGGATTAATGAAGACGAATGCTGTCTTTTGAGACGATGAATTAATGGGAACATGATGTCCTTGTGCATGACTTGTGCCAGGTTACTCAATACATATACGTATTATATCCTTTTATGAGTGCTCATATGAAGCTATACTAATTTTTATCACCAGACACTGGATTATTTTAGTCAAACTTGAAACTATTTAAATTTCAGAACTTAATATTTTATTAAAATTACGGTGCTACAAAATCCCCTTAGCCAATTTCAGCAGGTTTTTGCTTTTATCAAATTCACTGAATTTATTTATTAGTGCAATAAAGTATTGTGCATAGGGGAATATCTATGCATTAGCTTATCCTTATATTTATGTATAGTCAAGTCAAAGTGAATTACTTGTATGCTTTCACAGAAGGTTGTCATTATCACTATCACTCGTTTGGCTGCTTCAATTTGACCAGTCCCGACAAGGCAAAACCAGAACCAGTCGTGGAGGAAAGAATCAACTTTTTTTAAAAGATTTAAACCTTGAATTCTAAATTGCATTATTGCATCAGAGAACTCTATGCATGGATTCGGGATCAAAATTTAAGCACTTTGCTGTACTGCTGCTGCTCCTGTGATAAAATGTCTTCCGTGTTATTCAATTTTTTCTAAATTCGTGATAACAAGAAAATAATAGGAATACCAGTATGTACCATTTCGGCCGTGATATAATGTCAAGATTTATAGCACATGTACATACATACAGGCGCGTTTCACTCTAGCCCAAATAGTTACATATGTACGTATGCATGTATATGTATGTGCTATGTATGTATGCCTCGGTCAGCCTAAATCTCTAAAATTTGCCCGTTTACTAAACAGATTGAACCAGCTTTGACTTGCCTATTTTGCTAGACTGTAAATGCAAAGAATTCCACCGACCAATTTGTACCATCAGCCACCACACACATCCACAATCCACAACTATGCAATTTCCACATTTTTCTTGCAACTGGTTACGCTTTAAAATTACGGTGCTGTGTGGCCATCCTGACTTGAAATTCTTCTCGCTCCTCCGTGAACAAAGTGTAAGCAAGAAAGCAATATGTTTAAAACAGTTCTTCAGAATCTTTCAATTCCAATTCTCCTTAATTTACCCTTTTTTTCTGGTTTACAAGGAATAGCACTCGTAAATACTACTCTACTCAATACGGTACTTTTATACATTTTAGCATGGCACCGTCCTCTCGTCTTTTGGTATAATCCGTCGATTCCATCCGTTTCATTCACGACGTGTCACTCAGTGGTTACACCTGAATGAAGCTTTACATGACCTTTATTACTCTCTCCACCACCTCCAATACTCGTGCGTCGGTTGTCTGCCTTTCAACCCGTTAATATACATTTAAGCACAACCAACGAAGCTTGATGGTACTTGTGCAATTCATGACAATGACATTCCAAACTTTGCACAAAAATATTGCAAGAATATAATTCTTACGATATCCGTTCGATATTATGTAGGAACGGAAGCAGAAGAGGTATTATTACTTATTATTATAGATGAAGGTGTGTAACGGTTCATTTTTGCTGGCCACATCAAATTCATGTACATGTTCCCACTATCAAATGCAAGTTACATAAGTAAATATAGAGGCCAAAGTAAGTTGTAGGGAAAGGAAGCAATTCATAACATCCATTAGAGCTCATTGGCTCAGTTTGAATAGCTTCTGGCTAGTGTATAAAGTATAAAATATAATTAGTAATTCATGAAGATATAATAATACCTTTGCCACTGCGTGTAGTTTGTTTAAGGCCGCTTTTCAAGTCGACAGTCAATTTCATTGCTATTTCCAAACGGTTATTACTATGCAAGTCAAGTAATACGAAGAAGAAGTTACAGTGTGCTCGAATGAAATAAAAATTAACCAAGTAAAGTATTGATGTCTGTAATCGTGAGAAGTGTTGAGGTTGATTTTAATCTGAGGAGAAAAGATTTGGTCAAAAAAATCGTAGTGATGAATATTTTCTAACGTGAATTCTAGTAAAAGGAATACTTTCCAAAAAATAAATAAAATATGTATCTCATCCCTAAATCTGTGATTTTTAACACAGTCTTTAATCGGTTCTTCCTGTATAGACCGCATATTTATGTATGTACATCTCACCAATAAAAAATAACACTTAATTCACATTGAACAACGACAACGTGATTATCGATGAGAAGAGTTGTTGAAGGTGATTGTCCAAGTGCATCGTTCACTAATAATTCAAGGCAACAGTCTTGGGTAACTCCTATGATCCATCAACTTCTGCACATACAAGTACATCCCTATAAATGATTACTAATGATTGCCTATAAAATTATTAGGTGAATGTATATGTACATAAATACATCTCACTCCATCAACCTCATTGCTGCTGCGGCACCAATAATGATTCAATTTCTGTCGCTTGGTTTGGTCTGGGAACGCTTTACGTAGAAAAGCACCAGTAACAGAAGGTATTGTTGATTGTCGCTTTACGTTATTATCGTGTTACAACGACAGACGTGCAGTTGTTTAGTGCAAATCTTCACGGACAGCAAGCAACATCTCTTTGCACGTCTAGAGTTTGGTTTCGTTTGCCATTATTTCGAAAGAATTGGGAGTTTGAGTTGAGAATTTAAAAATTATATAAAAAACCACCTGCTTTCCCTATCTCACTGTTCCTTTGCACCTGTGCTGTTATGGAATAATATGGAGTGACAAAAACTGCACACCAAATTAGAATTTATATTGTTAAACACATTATTATTCCGAAATTGCAATTTAACGGAAACAAGCAACTAGCTTGGGTTTAAATAGCTTTGCTGCATTTCTATTTCGTTGTGAATCAGTGAATTGTGTTCAACAGTGGCAGCAACAGAAGTAGCAACGAACAATTGAAAGATCCACAATTGAATTGAAATTTACTTTGGTTTGGTGAGCTTTGCGAGTAGGAATAAATTTATAAAAATGCCGAGTCACTTGCATGAGGAGGCGAAGAATGTGCAGGATGTGGATAATCTTACAAATTCAAAAATCTAACCGAGATGTCATCATAAATAACTTGGAAAGAATAAACGTGGTCAGTCAACAGCTAAAATTTTAAATTGCAGAAAAAGTCATTGCAAACTTTTGTCAAGGGCCGGCCGAATTGTGTATATGCAAAGTAAGCAAGCTGAATCACTGCATGTTCACTGTTGTTCCTGTCCAACTCTGTCAAAAAAGAATACGAAAGTGTTGATTGGTTACAGGTTTAGTTTGTCCTATGATTTATAGCAGGTGCATATTTTACTTATTCTTCTGGGCATATGTACACATATACGTCCTACTTGTCTCAAGCACAAAATGTTGAATTGCTATTATGCAATTTTGGTACGTATGTCCGATAAGAGAATGAAATGCTTAATTAATTAATATTTCAAGCTCTGATTCAGGATGCAATATTTTAATCGCGTCTCAAACAGAGGTGTTTAACCTGACAATCCCTTCACAACGAATCGTCAGTTATGTATGTATCCGCATAAAGAATAAGGAGTTGTATGTAAAATAGCGGAGTTTTAGTTCTCACTTTTGGTAGACAGATAATAGTTTAGTTGTCAAAATCATCAACCGACAGTCATCCAATTAATGTAATAGAGAAATTCAGTAGTATTTAGTTTGAGACCTATTTGGCTCAATTTGCATAATTGCTGGATTATGTTCTCTTGCTATACATAGATACAAACATGCCAGAACACCTGTCGTTTTCTGCCGAATAATAAGTCGAGAATACTCTAAACTGCGGAAACTGAGATTTTCCTTTGCATGCAGATACCCGGAGGGAGGAATCTTTAGTGAATCGGACACCAAATAATTTTGGTGCATCTTGTCTAAAACGCTTTAGAAACCAAACAACTCATGCTGTTACACTCGAACACAATTAGGTACAAATGTTTTTCAAAAGTTAGCAAATTAATTCGTAAAAGTATTATAACGCAATGCTTCAGTTTAGAAGGATTCTTTGTCTCTTCTTAATTTAATGACATAAAACTGTTGTTGGAACAGGTAATGATATTACTTAAGTACGAAGAGGTATACATACATGGAGGTTGTGGTAAAAAGTGCAAATCTGTATTTTATGTTCCTCGTTAAACAACTTTTATGAGGTATGCTAAACCCAATTATCCTCCTGCACGCATATTTTTTAATGTTTGAAGCAGTTTCTTTCTCTATAATTTTCGAGAATGTACATAGTCAAAATCAGTTCAAGATATTTAGTTTGGTTTGGTACTCTGGTTGTGTTGTATTGGATGGATGACATGAAAGTGTAAATGCTTGCTGTTCTTACGCATGTATCGAACACAACCCACGACCAGTTTCGAATCTGAATATTAAAAAGGCAGCGGCTGATGATGATTAGTTTTTGTTTTCGCATGGCAAACACATCTTTAGTTCTAGTTTTAGCTTATGGGTTTGTTTTTGTAGCTTGATAAGTAGAATCAGCCCAGCCCATGGCTGACTATGCAGGATGACTGTCAGTTTCATTTCATGGTCTCATTCGCCCAATTTTCAGTTCTTGCTAAATTCACTAACTAAAAGAAACTTTTTAGTTAGACAAGTGAAAAAAGGATGACGATGATACATTTCGACATCAAAAAGTGTGTATGTGTCATGAAAAATTTAGTTAAGATTTCTGATTATAAGTGTAAATCTTTATAATCAAATACAACTCCTGCATTTTATTACTATAAATTTCCAAATAAATGCATACCCTACATAAAGCAAAAACGTTTCTATTAGTAAATACGCATAAATGATTGTCCGTTGATTTTCCATTGTAATTTTAGCTGGTCAGTAATAATAGCATTAAGTTTTAAACTGTGTAAGAAAAATGCCCAAATGGTTTTAATTTGACTCTCCAGGAGCAGAAGCCGAACCCTTCCTTTTACACGTTCTCTCTCGTCTTACTTTTCGTCCTCAACGTTTCTTGTTCTTGATTTCTTCCATTAACTAAACCTTTAGAAAAGCGTAGTAAGATAGGTAACGACCTCGTAGCCGTTCTTTCTTGGGTAGCACTTATTTCGGCAGGTAGACAGGTACACATTATAATAGGCCATGTTTTGTGGAGGTAGTCAAAGTGTAATAATATGTGGAGATTTGGAAATGCATAAGTATATACCAAACCCATCTCCTCTTTGCGCTATTCCTCGCCTTGTCAAATTGTAATGGTAAACTTTTACATAATTTTTTGTCCAATCTCAGCACATCTCATCAACATCGCATCAACGCAGTGCTATGCAGTGCTCGCTACTTTTCATTCGGTCGGATTTTGTGTTTTACTACAGCCAAACCACACCACCATCGTTAATCCTAAGGATAAGTATAGTAAATTGAAAAGAGAGACAGACAACCTTTACGTGCATGTGTATTGGTACGTATGTATATACAAACGTATTTCTTTTCTACACTCAACTGTGATTTGCTTGGGTTAAGATTCAGATCAAATTCAGTAAGGAGGTGAATTGCAAAGAGGCAGTTTCCTTCGTCTTGTTGGCATTTAACAACAAAACCTCACCTTGTTTGGTTTGAGCTTGACGTTTATCTTGGAAAATGACAAGTTAATCTGTCTCACAATATTTTTCCAAGTTGAGAAAATTGGCGGAGTTAGTTACTACTGCCCATATCGCGTCATTTGCTTATAGCATGCAAACCGTGGTGGTCAGACAATTTGTGCAAAAAAAATGATTGCAAAATGTGGCCTAATACGTGGCTCTTTTGACAAAATTTGGTGTACTGAATTTAGTGATTTGTGAATTTCAAGGTGAGACAACAGAGGACGACGGAAGTGTGAACAATATTTTGGACGCTTTGGGTGACGAGCAGGAGCAGAGGTCGTCCTCCGCCGTGGAAATAATTGACCCATCGATAATAACCAAGACAGGATCGTCAGTGATGGTGGTTGGAATGGGAGATGGAGAAAGTTCTGGGGTGGGTTCCACAACGTCCCCAACGGGGTCACCCCATCACGACAATGAGCCGCAGCATGAGGACTATGAACACGTATATTGCCAGTTGGACCCATATTTCGTGAGTACTTTTTAATTTTATGCATAATATATTTTGTGTCGTTATCACACTGGAGACATGCTTCATGGTTTTGTTACGTTACGTACCTATTTGCTACATATATTCTAATGTGATTTTAACGGGAAAACTCGCCGTTGTGAATGTGGCATTTCAAATTGCATTGGTTTTACTCTAGTTGTTTCTCGTTCATGTATATTCGTGTCATCACCATGCAGCAGACTGAATTATGAAAATCTGCGTCATTTGTGCTCCACATAACAGTCTAATTATTGCATTTCTCTCGCCATGCATTTATCACAAGTGGCTGATTTCGACTCTCAATGAGCCATGCCCACAAAGTCTTCATACGAGATTCCCTTTGCTCAAGACGAAGCTGATGATGCTTGACGACGTCGAACTGGATAATGGACGTTTACGTATCTGTAACTGAAATGCTGTTGAAATTCGAACGTTTCCTTCGTTCGTGGAAAAATATAAGGATAAGTTTGGTTGACGGATATGCCAGTGGAGGGTCGGCTTTTTTCTCCACATAAATAAGAAGCTGTTATTCAACGTGTGTGTATCACAGTCTACTTATTTTCTTGCCTCTCTCTTGGTCGTCATTTTATAATGAACAACGTGGTTGTGGAGAAAAAGAGGCAGTCAGTGAATGAATTCCATCATCTCACTTTCACGAAGGCAGGGAAGGAACGGTCCACTAACCCTCGTGAGAATTGAGACCCTTAAGTCCCTTTGAAAGTCTTGTTCTTTCTTCAGCTTAAATTACATTCTCTTTCCAACGTTTCTGGGTAATTGATGAAGCTGGGAAGGGCGGCTTAATAAGCGTGTACATGCATAGCTACCGATGTGCTCAAACTATGTCGTGCCACAAGTCAGATTGTTGAATAATAATTAATTTTCATATCTTTGTAATCAACAGTTGAATAAGGGCAAGCTGGAACTTTTATTTTGTACAATTTCTGGATAAAAATATTGTTTCTCTGTGTAAGATTCATCGTTCATTGTGTTACTGCATAAGAGTCTTATTTACAGTACGGAATGATGTTTTTTGGTCCGGCATCGTAATGCTCAGCTCAAGGCCTCCAATTTCATTATTCCGGGACCCTTGTTAGCTGATGCAACGCTTGCATTGTGTTCCAAAATCTTTTCACACCACTACATCTTAAGTGTGGCCTAAAGTAGCTAGCTACCTGCCTCACAACGACCCAGCAGACTTTTTTGCCCGAGCCAATGGTTATAGGATCGTCCTGTCTGTCTGTCTGTATAGCGATAAAGATAAGCCGTAAAAGATAACCAATTGAGTTGAAATTTTGCAACACGATGATCCAGATTGTTTTTAATTAATTGGAAAACGCGGAAATTTGTGCACAATAAAGATGCACTAATTTAGTAGAATATTGGTCATAGGACCCCGACAGGATGGCCCACAGTGATTTTCGATATTAAGAAGAGTTGAAATGCTTGGCTCGGGCATATGAAAGCTACAAACTATAGGTTTTTATATGAGCTACATATATAATGCACTTACCTACATGTAGGTACTCATGTTGTTATACGACTAAATAAAGAAGCTCTTTTTGTTACCTTTGGGTTAGTTATATGGTTTTCAAGCCCGAGATGTAGCATTTTCATCACATCACACTTGAATCCTGTTTTTATCGTTGTCCCTGGAAAGATGAAGTAGTGGGCCCTGTACAGCTACTTAGCTGTTGTTAGTGGTTCGTCATTTTTTGTTTAAGCTTAAGACAAAGGGAAGACGATGAACTCTGATTTTTTATAATGCATAAAACCTGGAGAGATTTGGTAGTGAGTTCCATTGACATTATACGCTACTCCGCAATTACGCTTATTAACTGGTATACGAACTGTCAAACCTTCGCTGCAGGTTCACTCGTCCACTTTTTAAAAGTGTCTTATCTCATAAATGTACAATGCAGATTAATGATCATGGAGCTAAAATCTGAAATGTGTATGCAAAACGCCAAACACCGCATACAAAAGACTGGACCTCATAAAGCATCCCAAATTAAGAAGAAGGTCCACGAAAAATGGGACCGTTTCTGGTAATTTATTTATCTTTTCAAAACAAAGCATCTAAATAGACACTGAAAATGAAGGCTGATACAACTAAAGCATAAAAATAGCAAGCCAGACAATATGCATGCATAATTTGTACATATAAATCTACATTATTTGCATCCGTCCTGGATTTTAACTAACGTTAACATCAAACTTATAAAGCATTCTAGAGTCCCTCTCTCATGCACTCTGCTGAACATCTCCTTTGTGTAAAGTCGGAATTGCATAAAGATTTCCGACGAGAAAAGAGATTGCTTCCATTTCCCTTGCCCACTCTGAATATCTGACACCATAATCCTTAAAATCATTAACTTAACAAAAGTGTAAATAACTTTTTGAAGAAAGAGGAATCCCTTTTCTTGTCCATGTTGATTGTTATGATTTACAAAAAAAGCACAGTTGGAAGTAATAAGAAGGGTCGTCTCTTCATCTCTCATGGCGAACAAGTGCTCAGAGATTTTCACTTCAATGTCAAAGTTAGGTTACAGATATTTGGTGAACAAGGAGCAAATGTATTTATCTACAAAGAATATATGTACATACGTACGTATAAGAACCTCAACAGGTTGTTGTATTATTATTTTGTTGCCAGTGCTCCTGGTCGTCAGCATCCTTATGCTTGTTGCGTGTCATGCAATCGTTTTCAAGTAATAATGCAGTTGAAGTCATTTGGCTTGGCACTATTCTCGTGTAATAAGCAGGTTGGGCTTTTCAGCTCTATAAATTTTTTTGATTAGTCCAGGTTAAATTTTCAATTTTCTTTGCGTTCTCTCTCTCGTCTCTTAACTTGAACCTAAATACGTGTGTATCTGTAGTGTTGCCTGCACGAGAGCTAAAATGCAACGATTTAATGATTTAACGATGATGGATCAGAGTAAAGTTTGGAATGCACATATGGTCACCAATCAAGTGTTAAAAAAACGATTAAATTGAGATTAATTTACTTTTGCTCATTTGTAGTGCGCCCATTGCTATTCGAGCAAACTAAACATGAATTGCAAAGATTTTAGGACATGGCAATAATAAACAATGTGAAATATTTTATTTTAGGAATTTCCTGTCGCTCATTCACATCCTTCCACCCTTTCGTTTTTTACCACTTTCCAAATATTATGAAACCTAAAAATTATGAGATCAATTTACACATTGGTGTTTCATTCTTCTTTGGATTATTTATTTATTAAACAAAGGAAAGGGCCCCACGAATACTCACCGTTCTTTCATAAAATGTTTAGGTGGGTGGGCAAAATTCCTGTAAAAATCCAGACGATCCTTTCTTTACATCATCGCTCCATTTATTCTGCTTCATTTCCTTCACCATATTGTGAAATAATAAACCGTTGCAAACGAAATGTAGCAAAGGGGTGAAAACACACGGAATTGTCTTTGTGGCACGCCCACGACGTCTTTCTGCACTTTCCCATCAATGTCTCACATTACCCCACATTTTATTTTGCCCCGCTTAGACACCCCACCCGCGTACTTCTAAAGTACACGACCATACCTTTCAATAGACACCCCATATGACAAAAGTCATTTTTTCGACATTCGACACCTCCCACACGGTCATGGGGTCGTCGCACGTCGAAATGGTGGCGATTTCTGAAATCCCCGCCCAAAAATACGTCTAAAACGGTGGCAACAAAAAATTCGCCAATTTTCGACTTTGGCGTCGTCTACACGGTCACACGGTCGTCGCACGTCGAAATGGTGGCGATTTCTGAAATCCCCGTCCAAAAATACGTCTAAAACGGTGGAAACAAAAAATTCGACATCTTTGACCGTTGGCGTCATCACCATGGCGCCGTGACCTTACGACCTACAACGCCCATCTTCGAACTCATCCCGTCCCCAAAAATTAGAAACACGTTGGCGAAAACCGGATGTCGAAATTCGAATCCGTTCTAAAGTTATCGTGGATACGGACAGACAGACGGACAGACAGACAGACAGACAGACGGACAGACAAGACATTTCCATAAAGGGGTTTTCACCCCTTAATAATGCTCAACAATTTTAGTGTGTAAGTCGAGTTCCCAAAGAATTTCGGAACATTTAACACCATTTTCGAGATGTTCACGAAACAGGAAAATTCCATTTTTATAACAAAGGAACCAAGAAACGAAAACATGGGTCCAGTTTCATCAACCATTTAGCCAGTTGCCATTAAACTGTTTTGGCTAGCTGTTGTCGGGCCTTTTGATGAATGAAGGATTTCGTGAGGGTGTAAAGTAAATTGATCTAGATATTGCATTTTTGTTGGTCAAGTGAAAGATTTTGTTGAAATTATATGATTCAAAATCAGGAATGTGGTTACCACAAACCAACAAAGTTAATGGACACAAGGAGATACATACGCGGCGTTCACCACTGTAACAAAATTATTTTGTGTTTATAATTCATATTCGTCAAGAATTTGTGTGGCCAGAAAAATCACTTGTTTAGGATAATAGTTTGTAAGATTGTAAATAGTTTAGGGATAAATTAAGAGATTTTTAAAAGGTTCATACAAGTTGCTACTAGATAGTCTTCCTAATTATTTGTTTCTTTGATCCCGATGCTCATCGTCCTACATACTATCAAATGTCAATGGTGAAGACGATTTGAACTTAAACCTACGACGGACACATTAACCAGAACAATGAGATACCAGATTTTAAAGATTTGATCCACTCAAACAAGAACCTAGTTGGCTTTGCTTCCCATTAAAATTCCATTGTCGTTTTTTTCAAAATTATTGCCCCATTTGCATCAGCCAGCATCCATCCCATCGTTTTTCCTTCCCTTGCACTTAAACACTCATTTATATTAACTTGGCTCAGATATGATTCGATCACTTAATCGACATCGACATCATCAAAAGCCGTTTGACGTTTCTTCCACTCTCCATTTAAGGGATGGACGACCCGCTTGGATCCACT